TGTGGATAAGATAGTCCAATACACTTATGGCTGCTCCACCAAAGAGATATTATTATTATTATACAGGATTTATATGGTGCCAACAGTTTGCTCAGTGCTTTACAATATAACAGGAGACAATACAGTTCAATACAAGAGGGAAAGGAGGACCCTGATCCTTGGAGCTTACAATCTAGGAGATAGAAAATAGTCTCTGTGAATATACAAAAGGAAAACAGGGAGCGCCAACTAAGTGTAGTATTAAAAATATATTCCGTTTATTTAAGACAATTGGCAACTCGGTAAGAATAAAACTTGCTCATTAATAAAACACTGCTGTGCGACTCGGTAGTACATTTCTCCACTGTGTAAGACCCTGCGGCTGCCAGCTCTGTGGACTGGACACTGAGGGACAAACCTGGAAGTCTTTAGAGCCACTCTGGAACACATAAGGGGCATGGAAGTGGACATAACGCCACACATGGAAGATCCTGCGGGGGAGGGGTGTAGCTACGTGTTTTGGAGTATCCAAGCTCCTTTCCCAAGCCATAGAAAAACATGGGACTACTATTATTTATCAGAGGACAGCAAGGCTCAGCTGAAGCTTCTATTGAGCTAAATCTCTCTGTCATTATGTTTTGAGACTGGTTTAGCTCAATAGAGGTTTCCCCTGAGCCTTATTGTTCTACTATAAATAGTAGTAGTCTCATAAATTTCTGTGGCTTGAAAAAGGAGTTTGGATGCTCTGAAATGAGTAACAATGCTCCTCCACTGCAAGATCTTCCCAGTGTGAGGTCATTTCCCTTTCTGCGCCCCTCATGCGCTCCAGAGTGGTTCTGGACACTTCTGGGTTTGTCTGCAGTCTCTTCTCTACATCTGTTCAAACTGCTGAGTTTATAAAGCTTGCCTGGAAGTTCAGAAAAAGGGGGTGGAGAGCTGAAATGACACACTACAGAGTTCAGTGTGGAGAGCTCTGAGAGAGCTGGTTGGAGGGAAGAAACACACCCCCTTCACACAGCTCACAGGAAGAGAGATGAGGCTGCCAATCTGCTGGAGGTCCCTCCCCTGTCACCATTTTTCTCTTTGTCAGGAAAACTTGTCAGAAGTGATTCATGCTGATAGAGAACCGAAGCAGCATGCAAAAATGACACTTGGTGCTCTGGATTGAGACAAGAACACACTATAGAGGGAAATGCTGTGTTCATATTTCTGGATAGACAACTAAGAACAATCAATAAATACCTCTGCACACTTTACTAACTAATAAATACTTACTTCTAAACACCTTCAAGAAAAGTAATACTTTCACCCTTGAAAGTAAATCAATATAACCAACCTTCTCTTATACATATAGAAAAAACTTCTACCCCAATACCAAAAATAAATAAATAATAATCAATAAATAAAATAAAATATAAAATATAAAAAATAATAATCAAAATGTCCCAAAATTATATCCATATTATATATTTTTTGGATATAATTTTGGGACATTTTGACTATTTTTTTATATTATTTTACAACTAAGAACAAGTCATGTAGGCATGAGTGAAATCATGTGCTACTACACATTTTGGCAGTACTTCTAATGACCAACCACACGGTAGGAGCCGTCGTTCGTGTAAGTTGCCTAAGCCTAAAAGCCTAGGAGCATACCAAGGAACATAAAAGGTGAACCGACTAGTCCATGCCTGCACCAAAAATGCAGATATCTGGCTATTGAAAATTGGTATTACCCTGTATCTTATCCAAGATACGCACATTCCTCACCCCAGACACCACCAAACAACTCGTACACTCCCTCATCATCTCACGCCTGGACTATTGCAACTCCCTTCTCACTGGCCTACCCAAATGAACGCTATCCCCACTCCAGTCGATCCTAAACTCAGCGGCCAGACTCATCCACCTCACCAAGCGCTCCACATCTGCCTCCCCCGTCTGCCAATCCCTTCATTGGCTCCCGATTGCCCAACGCATCAAGTTCAAGCTGCTAACCCTGACCTACAAGGCCATTCACAATGCCGCCCCAAACTACATAACTGACCTGATACCCAAATACTACCCTACCCGTGCCCTCCGCTCCTCACAGGACCTCCTGCTCTCTAGCTCCCTGGTCTCCTCCTCCCACGCCCGATTACAGGACTTCTCCAGGACTTCCCCCATTCTCTGAAACTCCCTACCCCAATCCATCAGAATGTCACCTACCCTCCTCACCTTCAGGCGCACCCTGAAAACCCTCCTCTTTAGGGAAGCCTACCCCAACCTCACCTGACGCCCGACCTCACCTAACAACCTTCTCCACTCCACCCGCCACTCCATCCCCCACAGCCATCTCCTCCTGTGCCACCTTCCCCTCCCTCCTAGATTGTAAGCTCGAAAGAGCAGGGCCCTCGAACCCCTCATGTAGTGTATTGTTACTGTATTGTCTCATGTTCTGTCCCCCACTATAATGTACAGCGCTGAGCATACCCTTTGGCACTATATAAATACTGTATAATAATAATAATAATACCCCGATACAGCTTCAGTCACTTTTCCAAGATGGCTGGGGGGTGCCAAACAAGAAAACTTGGCACACAAAATATACGTATTTTTCAGCTATATTATTTATTTCCTAGCTTTTCAGGGTTTCTCTTTAGCCCTCCTGCATCTAACCAAAGCTGAAGTATCACCATTGGGTGAACTGACTATTTATTAGCGCTACATCAAATTTCTTGTCATTTTGTGTTTTTGGCTTCACTTTCCTGTACTAGTTTACCGTCTACACCAGTACATTGATCTTTTAATGAATCTCCATGTCTTTTGGAGCGTTCGCAGTTGGAGGAATCCCCATCATATTCATCCCCTGAGAACAACCATATCTCTGGGCTGTACTGTTATTAATTTGACTGCAGCCTTCACATATCCCCATAACCAACATAACATGACCTACGAGGCATTGATTCCCTAATGGATTGCTTTTAACAATATTGATGCAGCCTCCCGAATAGCAGCTCTGTGCAACACTGTTGATAGTTTAGCAGATTATATTTAAGACCTTGACCTGATTTTCTCCCAAAGAAAAAAGTATAAATGGTTTGCTTTTCTAATTAGCATGTTGATATCCTTTAATGAACAACTGTAACTATTAGTAAATTGTTTACCTGGCCTTGTCTCCTGGAATGTATGGGCTCCGAATTAGAATATCAAGATACGACTTCTTTCTGTAGATGGTAAAGGAAAACTTTTAGGCTGGTTTCCCATTGATCAATTTTTCTCCCGCTTTTGCTTTAAAAAAAAGAGGAAGAAAATTGTGTAACCAGGGGCGGACTGACAACTCATGGGGCCCCTGGGCAATAGGGGATCATGGGGCCCCTGTGTCCTTCCCCAAACTCAAAAAAGCCTATGAAAAAGGTAGCAGGGGCATCTCATGGGGCCCCCTACTGACCCTGGGCCTTCGGGCAGTGCCCGAGTTTCCAAATGGTCAGTCCGCCCCTGTGTGGTGTGACCATATACCATATTCTCCTGTTCACACTGCTCCGTTGCAGGGCCAGTTCACCTCTACATGGAACTTAATGGAAAATGTGCCATAAATTCATCAAAAATGCACCTACGTTGCGTTTTTGTTGTATTTTTTTTAGAGTCACATGTCCTTTTAAAAAACGCACTGTAAATGCAGTAAAAATGAAGCAAAAATGTATATGCGTTTTTGCCTCAGATCAGTGTGAAAGTAGCCTTATGCTGCATTCAGACCTGAGCAGAGCGATTTTCAGGAGCTTTTTTCAGCATTTTTGCTAATTTTACAGACATTTTTAGAAGAGTATTACTAATGTATTACCTGTGTATTCAAGCTTCAGCCTTTTTGTTTTAGCCAATGGAAATCAAAAGTGGGAGGAGATCAGTTAACATAGCTTAAAAAAAACAGCTGAATAAACACTCAAATCAAGTGTTTTGGGTGTTTCCATTGAAGTCTATGGGACCTAAAATGCTCAATTCTGCCTGAAAAGTAGCTTGTGTACTTTTTTTGAGCAACAGGCATTTTGCTACAAGTGACAAGACGCTAAGGTGTGAACAAGGGCTATTGAAAACATGCGGTTTTTGCTTGTTGGGCGTTTTTGAGCTTCGAGCTGCAAGCTACAAAATGCCCAAGTGGGAACGGGGCCTTAATGGTTTAAACACCTTTCAGTTGTACTTCAGTGGGCAATTTTTTTTTGCTTTTACAGTGTCTTTAGATCAACATTGGAACCCCCCACTCCCATCCCATACAGCTGTGTGCAGTACTTGGTGGAATGATGTACAGCTCTAAATTGGGATAAAATCCAGACTGTAGATTGATGAGGACCTCACTTGAGATGTTTCAAATGGAGGTTCAAGACTTGATGGCCGATGGGTACATTGTATCCCTTTTCTAGCAATAGAAGAGTATATCTTGCCCATGCCCCCTGCTTTCCACAACACCCCAATTTATTTAGTAGTTCCCAATATTCCACAATCCTCCATGTAGTAGACAAAGGTCTGTGTGAGTAAGGGAGGCCATAGATTATGTAATTTTCTTTCCTTCTACCAGGGCTGAAAGAAAAGAAAATCGCTTGATTCCCCATCAACACAGTCAGTGTTGATGGGGGAATCCCTCCTGCAGCGCCAATGTGTTCTGTCATTGGGGAGTGCCGGGAGCTTACCCTGCCGGAAGAACACAATGATTAGTGTTGTCGGCCAAGGCCGTTGACACTAATTGTTCGAGGAAAAACCCGACAGGCTACTATGGTGCCCATTCATGGATCAAAATTTGTCCCTTCCCTTCTGAACCGGCAGAATTTAGAACCATGTATGGGCCAGCTTAGACTCTGCCACTTGTAGATTGCCATTATAGCTGTGAGCCACAATAGCGGAAATCCTGTGATTTCACTTTACAGAGGAATGTTCTCAGCAAGATGAAGTGGTGAGAACACAGACCAGTCACTGGATGTTTATTGTTTTAGCTGGATCACAGAGTAGAGCATATGGATTTGAAGTAAATGAAATGTGAACTTGTTTTCCAGAACACTGTAATTATTTTGGAGTAGACGAGAAGTTGGGTCCTGTTGCTGTGAGTCTGAAAAGAGACAAACTGGAAGACAGCAAGGAGCATGGACCACAATACCAGTACAGGATCATCTTCAGAACCAGCGAGGTAAGGACACTGTGAGGTTCTTGGTGTCAGATTCTGAGAAGAAGCTATCATAGCAGAGTTTAAACGTACCGCCACGTTTGTTGAGAAAAATGAAAAACATTCCCCTCTGGGGGATCTACGTACATTGCAGGGATCTTAACAAACTTTGTGCAGATTCTTATCTTTTGTTATTGTGAAGAAATATACTCACCGGCCACTTTATTAGGTACACCTTGCTAGAGCCAAGAAAATATCCCCCACACCATTACACCACCATCACCAGCCTGAACCATTGATACAAGGCAGGATGGATCCATGCTTTCATGTTGTTTACGCCAAATTCTGACCCTACCATCTGAATGTCACAGCAAGCAGTCTGCCCATTCTACTCTGATCTCTGACCTCAACAAGGCATTTTCATCCACACAACTGCCGCTCACTGGATATTTTCTCTTTTTTGGACCATTCTCTGTAAACCCGAGAGATGGTTGTGGGTGAAAATCCCAGTAGATCAGCAGTTTTTAAAATAATCAGACTGGCCCATCTGGCACCAACAACCACGCCACATTCAAAGTTGATTAAATCCCCTTTCTTCCCCTTTCTGATGCTCTGTTTGAACTTCAGCAAGTCTTCTTCACCATGTCTAGATGCCTACATTTTTTGAGTTGCTGCCATGTGATTGGCTGATTAGCAATTTGTGTTACCAAGCAATTGAAAAAGGAGTACAATAATTGTTAATGGGAATAGGAGTGGTTTCATAATAATCAGCTGATGCACTTGCTGGGTTCTAATGAGGAAAATGGCAGGGTATGTACCCCTTTTTGATGTGATATTTCCTTGGGAGCGCCTCACAAAAAAATTAAATTTTTGTTGCAGGGGATGCCCAAAATTTGACTTTTATCTTCATGCAGACTTTTGGGAAAATCAGTGAGCCAGTCACACAAAGCAGGAAATGACATTTCTGGGGGGCTTTCTGTACACAATCTTTATACAGAATCAGAATGCTTCCAGGTTACAGGCATTTACAAAAAAAATACAGGTCTGCAGGCTGAAGAGGAAAGGTCATATTTAATAACAGTATGGATTTAATTACAGTATGACTTGTGTAGGAATTGTATGTTACATTGTTTTGGGGTGTTTTTTCTATTTTTTCCCATGAAAGTGGAGTTACTCTTTAAAGCTGTACTTCAGACAAATGGCTAAATACACAGTTTAAATATATATTTGAGTGTTTCTACATATATGAGTGAATATTGTATGTATTTCTCTCCATCCAGGCACAAACAGTCCTTCCTGGAGGGGAAGAAAATCCTGATTTTCTCTGTTTTAGTTTTTTAAAAAAATTGCAAGTAGGTCCTGTCCCTTTCCCAGCCTGTGACTGGACAGTGAAAGAGAAGCAGTAGACTGATGAGTTCATCTCTCTGTTGGTTGGCACAGTCAATTGGCTGGCTCTTCACGTCTGTGTTCTGCTCTCTCTGCAAGAGAATGATACCAAGTCAAATTCATGTACTTACATTGATTACATTAAAAAATATGATGTATTGATAAAATATAGCCCTAGGTTGGTTTGTGTCATTTTTATCTACCTGGAGTTCATCTTTAAGGGCCAATTCACACTACATGCGTTTCAGTTGCTTTTTTTTCTGCATCCAAAACACACAGAACGTTATACAATTAGGTCCATATATATTTGGACACAGGCACAATTTTTGATTTTTTTCAGATATTTACCAAAATATATTCAAGCTTTAGTTATATAATGGATATAGGCTGAAATTGCACACTCTCAGGTTTAATTTGAGGGTATGTACATCCAAATTGGAGGAAGGGTTTAGGAATTACAGCTCTTAAGAGTAGCCATCCCCTCTCTTTTTCAAGGGACCAAAAGTAATTGGACAATTGAATGCAATCATAAATAAAATGTTCATTTGTAATATTTTGTTGAGAATCCTTTACTGGCAATGACTGCCTGAAGTGTGGAACCCATGGACATTACCAAAGACTGGGTTTCCTCCTTTCTGATGCTTTGCCAGGCTCTAACTGCCTTCAGTTGTTCTTTGTGGGTCTTTCTGCCTTTAGTTTTGCCTTCAGCAAGTGAAATGCATGCTCAATTGGGTTCAGATCAGGTGATTGACTCGGCCATTGCAGAATATTCCACTTCTTTTCCTTCACGTATTCCGGAACGCATCTAGACTAAGTTTCTATAGTGTGAACCGACTCTTTAGGATAAGTTTTGACAAATAATAAATGCATATTTTTTTACAGGTAAAAAAATTGCGTTTATTATTTTTGGTTCCAGGAGCCTCTAAGGCCTCATATGATCTCCCCTAGCCGTTTAGCTCTCCTGGCAGCAGAAAAAACAGTAAAAACCCGTGTAAACACTGTAACGCGTTTGGCTGCGTTTACCCACATTTAGCACTTGGACATTTATTAATTTGATTGGCCAGAGTATTTTCCATTGACATGAATAAATGCCAAAGTGCTAACGTTTAAATGTGTTTACAAACGTTTTTGCTGCGTTTAGCTTTTTTGGCCAAAATGTTTCTCTCCTGAACACAATTCTTCTGTATTCGGGAGAGGAACATTTAACTGCTCCTAAACTCTGCTGCTCCTAAACTCTGCTGCTCTGGTAAAAGTCTATGTATACATGGACACTTGGGCAAAAAGCCCCTAAACTCACGTTTAGGAGCAGCAGTGTACATAAAGCCTAAAGGATTGCACCCACGGTCAGCAGATCACTGGTGCCATGCAGGTCTCCAGTAGACCTGTCAGTACAGGATGTACGGGCAAGCAGATATATATTGACAGGAAGAATCGGTGAACTGCCATGGTGCTCCACAGCACTGTGCTACTTCATTGTGAACTACAAGCTGTCCGGACTTGTAGTTTATTCATTCACGGAACTCTCCGCCCACACTGCTTTTAAAAAGGGACATCCAGTATGGGGAACTTCACCCTGTACTGCTGTCACAGGGAGGGGGGCATTGGGCAGCAGCTGCAGCATTAGGAAAATGTTACATGTTCCACCCAAAAATGAGTGGAACATGGAACATGTTCCCAAAGGTGAACTTATCTTTTAAAAGTACACATAATATGATTTGACTTGTTTTCAAGTGGGTGGATATTGAAAGGTTCGTACTTCTGATCCTAGGGGTCTCAGTGAGCCTCAGTGATAGCTATAAAGCTGAAATCCAGGTAAATATTAATAGACCAATGAATAGGTATGTGACTGGTATAAATGTCTGAGTTTGGCTTGTTTTCAACCTTCTGTAATGCCTTGTACAGAAGCTCTGAGACTGGTTGAGGGATAGGCTATACTTGGCCATTCAGTTGTGCTGCATTCACATGTGCTAAAATGGAACAAGCTGGCAGCAGGAGAGATCAGAGAGATGACCACCTTAGTTTGTTGCTGCTCCTTTACTGGCCAGTCACAGACTGCTTAATTGTCTCATGGAAAAATCAATTCAACAGGCTGGCTGTGTGGTTTGCTAGAACTGTGTAAATCCCTGGAGTAGGTTGATATACAAATCCTATGCTATGCAGGACAGCTGCCATATATGTGTTTAATCTGTTTTAGCCATTTGTCTGAAGTTCATGTTTCAAGTGGTTGGAAACCCTCACATATACCCAGTGAAGTGACTGATCTCAGGTGATACACAGAGATCAAACAAATCCTCCTACATAAGTTGTACTTGTTTATTTGCAGTCTTCTCTTCTCTACATCCATTCAAAGTGCTGAGTTTATAAAGCTGGTGTGGGAGGTCAGAAAAAAAGGGGGCGGGGAGCTGAAACTACAAACTGCAGAGCTCAGGGAGCTGATTGGAGGGAAGGGATACACACTCCTCCATGCAGCTCACATGAACAGAGCTGAGGCTGTCAATCTGCTGGAGCTCCCTCCAGTGTCACCATTTTTCTCTTGGTGTCAGGAAAACGTTTCTGAAATGACTCATGCTGATAGCAAAGGAATGAAGCAGCAGACAAAAATGACATTTGGTGCTCTGGATTGAGACAAGTATACACTATAGAAGGATATGCATTGTTCATATTTCATGTCTGTGGTTTACAACCACTTTTACTACAGCCATGCATATGAAGTCAGGAGTGCAAGTGCATGCTGGATCATCTCCATGACGTATGTAGTTCTGGAAATCTGAACTAGGGTTGTCATACATGCGACACATTTCCCACCAAGAATGTTGTGTGGTGAAATATGTACACATGCATGTAAGGATCACTGTACCCTCTGCATTATTTATCCCTGATTCAGGCAACATAACACTTAGTATAAAGACTCTTTTCTTTACTATAGGGAGAATCAAGGAATCAAAAAGATTTTGAATTTGTTGAAACATTTTTGTATACAGTAATAGAGATTTCTGCTCCTTCGTCCTTTCTTTAACTTGAGAATCTGATTGTCTCAAGTGGTGCTGCAATAAAATCTGTACTTACACATATCAGGCTGTGTGTGGCCAGCGTCACTCATCACAAAGTTAAAACACGTCCATTAATCTATCAATGAACCAGTTACTTCCTTTGAAGCTATTGTTTAGAATAATGGCATTGGTACACTACGAAGAACATCTAATGATGGTGACATTTCTTCCCCTGAATCCTTTCCTTCTTTATGATTTGTCTCTTCCTTGATCTTGCTGCAGTGGGTAATCCATCTATACGTGTTTGAAGCCAAAATCCAGGTAGAAATAATATTTTAAAAAAGTTATGTAGTTGCTTATAAGGTGGGGGGGGGGTTACTAAAACTGGAGCACTCAGAATCTGGTGAATGGTAGCCAATCAGCTTATGACTTCAGCTTGTTTAATTAAGATTTGGAAATAAAACCTGAAAGCTGTTTGGTTTCTTTGTAGAGCTGCACCAGATTTTTCATGTTCCAGTTTTAGTAAATTTGCCTACAACTGACATAATCACCCAATAGAGAGAAAACAGGTGGCGCACACACCTAGTGCATTATCCAAGGTTTATTGTAGGAATTAAATCATAAAAACATACCCACAGACGAAGCATGTATCTAAAAAGCATAGAAAAATGACAATGGTCACAACGGCGGGCAAGGTGTTCTCACTGTCAGTGCGGTCAAATGGTTGATGCGAATCCCTTTCCTCAGAGCTGATGACCAACCTCTGATGCTGATGCACAATGAATGGAAAGTAAAGTAAGAGCCCTGCTGTTGATGCCACAGGCATAAAGCACACTCCCACACCATCCCACTCAGGCATCAACAGCAGGGCTCTTACTTTACTTTCCATTCATCATATATCAGCATCAGAGGTTGGTCATCAGCTCTGAGGAAAGGGATTCGTCCCCGAAACGCGTCAGCCATTTGACCGCACTGACTGTGAGAACACCTTGCCCACCGTTGAGGCCATTGTCATTCTATTGTCATTTCTATGCTTTTTAGATACATGCTTCGTCTGTGAGTATGTTTTTATGATTTAATTCCTACAATAAACCTTGGATAATGCACTAGGTGTGTGCACCCCCTGTTTTCTCTCTATCCAGTGGCTGATTTCCCCGTCTGAGGAGGGCTGCACCCCTGGAACATTTCCTTTTGGTTGTCGCTGTCCTGGTACCCTTGGCTTCCCTTTTGGCTGTGCATATCCTGAGGCGCTGGAGAGTACATATGACATAATCACCCAGTCTGACTTAATTTCGGACTTTGTCATCCCTTGTCCAGGAACAGTCAACCTGAGAGATGGAGGAGCAGCAGGTTGCTGTCACGGAGGTGGCACCACTGTATACCTTAGCTCTAACAAAGAAAATGGCATCACCTTCCTAACTGTGCTGTTTAGGTGTATGGATCACTAAAGCAACTGGACAGAAAATAAATCCATTAGTAGATAAGACACTTTTTAAATGTGTAATGTAACTGTTTATATAACTCTTTACCTGAAATTCAGCTTTAAAGTAATAGAGTGTGCGTATAAGGTGTAGGCACCTAGAAATGCCTGCACGTACTGTAGGAGCTTTAAGTGCACCCACACTGAATGTCAGCTTGTCCCGGCAAATATTTGGCACTTCCTGGTAGTGTCAAATGTGCCACTCACATCCCACACATTCCTATTGGCCAGTTAAGCAGCCTATTGAATGACGATCCAGTAGTAATGTATGTGGGAGTGGGCAAGCTCTGATACCAGGAGGTGTCAGGGCTTTGCCTGATCAGAACAGCCTGGCATTTGCCAAGAATGGGGGCACTAAAAGCTGCTGCAGTTATGTGCAAGCACTTAAAGGAGATTGTACACACCTGCAGCAGTTTTCAGTGACTCCCACCAAAAAAAAACTATGGATGTTTTCAGTAGAGGAATTTTAGGCATGCGGAGTGTTGTAGGGCAAAAGTTGTTTGACCTTTAAAGGAGAAGTTTGGGGTTTGTAAAAAAAAAAACCTTCATACTCACTTCTATGCTGCAGCATATGTTTGATGCTGCAGCTGACCCACGTCGACTTCAAGCCTGGGAACTGAATGATCACATGACTGCTGATCACTCTGTTCTTGGTCTGCTTAGAGTGGAGAGCTCCTGCAACTCTCACTGGGGTGTCAGCCACGGGAAGAGGTGGGTGCAGCTGGCTCTGGCACTCAACTGTGTGCTGAGAGGCTGAGCCAGCTGTCAATCAGGCAATGGGGTGGATCCCTACAGTATTGTCAGGATCCGTTTAGAGCCCACTATCTGCTGATTCTGGGTCACAGAAGAGCAAAAGAAAATTCGCTCCTGTGACCTACAAGAGAAGTATGACTAAAAAAGCTTTGCCCATACTTTTCTATTAACACTGTTTTATGACATAATGTTGCGTGCCAGGGTACCTACCTTTATATCCGCTTTATCAGTAGAGATAATAGAATGTCATACAGAAACATTTTTGCCATCTCAGTTGATGCCATTCTCCCAAGGTCCCCTGATCTAATTTTTCTTACCTAATACACTGTGGAATTGCCTCAGTCTTTGTGTAAATGTTTATATTATTCAGGAATCGTATTTCATGTATGGCAGTTTTTAAAGCGTTGCTTGTTGCTGTATAGTCTGAATGTCTGATGCCTGTGTCTTCCCGTGTCTCTTCTTTACAGTTGGTAACCCTGAGAGGAATGATCCATGAAGATGCTGTGCCAACCACAGCTAAACATGGTACTGTCCGCGGGCTGCCTCTGAAGGATGTCTTGGAGTCTGTCCTTCCAGAGCTTAATATACACTGTCTTCGCTTGGCCATGAATTCTTCCAAAGTGACTGAGCAGCTTCTGAAACTGGATGAACAGGGGGTGAGGATGTCAGAACATTTTTTGTCCTTGTGGGTTGTGGTTAGAATACTGAACTGTTTAATGAGTGATGGAACATGATGGCAATCGTAGAAGGGGAATTGTATGGTGTGCTGAAGAGAAAGCTGTAAGATTTAATAGTTTTTTTTGCCAGTAATACAGGTTTAGAGATTTTTTTTTACTGTCTTTTTTGTAATAAGCCAATTCGCCTTCTGAAATAAGCATATATAATTACAAACTGTATACAGAAACAAGGTTTCGTTCTCACCCATTGTCGAACGTAGGAAGTCTTAAACTTTCAGGTTTTACTACTGCCTACAGACTAATTGGACACTGGCAAACAGAAAAAAAAAATTCATACCAGCCCATGGTATGGCCCCTACCAGCACCATCATGACTCATTTATTTGCTGGTATCCTAGAGGGATGAACATTTTTTCTTCAGCTCTGCTTTAAGATGAACATATTTTTTTTTCCCTAGTACTTTTGTTAACTTTTTCATTGCTTACTGGGCGCCATAATAATCTTGATTCCTACTGGCTTAGATGTGGAAGGGAATAATACTGTGGGAATGAGCGGTCACATCACCCGCTGAGTGGATAGTTGCACACGCTCCACTCTCTTTCAGGAAAGCATCTTCCAGCTGCTGCTTCTGTTACAAAGGGCCACATGCAACTTTGATTTGTCCCTACTACCTGTCTACAGCGACCTTGGTCATTAACAGTCATTTGACCCTCACCTTTTACCAGCTTCCAGGTTTTGTGGGTACGAAAGACCTTGCTTTTTACCCTAATCCAGTCTCACTGGATTCCCTCACTTTCTGCTTCCAGTGCACCTACTGATGGCACCGACATCTTTGGAGTCTTCCTTGGCTATGTTAGGTGTAGTTGGGTCCTCTGCCCCTCCTGGATTAGTTTTTTTCATACAGGACTTTATGACCCAAGTTTCCAAGGCATTTGCTGACTGTAACCAAAGAGGCCATGAGCATGCTTCTGTTCCCTCTTCAGAAAATTCTGTATCTGATTTTTACCCTCTTTGATTCTTGATCATATCCTTGTCAGATGAGCTTACTTAGTCTACTGCTAATTACTCCCAAGATGAGCATTTGGTCCTCGTTGATGTGGTAGGCATCACCCTGAAACTAGAGGATTAGTCTGTTGTTTTGTTGTTGTTTTCAGCCTTGGGTCATATAGGGCCACTAAGATAAAGTCTTTCTCTTTGCACCCTTTTTCAACGGTATCTGTATGAAGACTGCAAATGCCCCAATAGGTTGGATGTTTCCTCTATGCACTTGCCTTGCCTTTTATGAGTTTGATGTGGAATGTGTTAAGAAATTATTTATTCCATCTGTTTATTTGACCTGCATTTTTACTTTTAGGTTTTAATCCAACTTGTTTAATTCTGAACCCAAAGGGGGCATTCGCCCCATCCTGCACCTTAAAAGCTTCAAACATCTTCATTCAGGTCCACAAACTCTGAATGCAATCCACCAGATCTGTCATTGCCTCACTTCAGGTAGACTTTCTGTCTTCTGTAGACTTCAAAGATGCTTACTTGCAATGTACTCATCTGTGCAGTGAGTCATAGTTTACTGGACCCAACCAGAGGTCCTCTATTACCCTTTGCCACCACCTGGCTTGAACATATCTCAGATGTCATGTCCTGTGCTACAAGCTAGAATTTCAAGCTCAACCTCTGCCCTGCTTCAAGTTTTCAAACCCACCAACATCCCCGCCAAGACTAGCAGACCTCCACTCTACCTTGACATATAAGGTGGTTCTCCCTATCCCCTTAACTAGGACATTGTGCTTCCATCTTTCTGCCCTTCACTGATACATCAGTTTTATACTTTCAAGGTTTGGATGTGGGGTGAACTGTTGAAGTGTATCTCTCAGCTGCAACTTCTTTCCAATGGCCTGACCCCCATTTTGTCATTCCTAAAAATCCCTGTAAGAGACCGCCTGCCTCTTGTTCCACTATTGCTGGGTGGCTCAGGCAGCTCATCATTCAGTCTTAAGACAAGGTTCCACTTTTCCTGGCAAGGCGCACCCCACTGAATCAGTAAGTGTTCCTTGGACTTCAATATCTGGAATCTGTTTCTCTGATTTACAAGGTTGCTGTCTGGTCTCCCTTCACATGCAGTGTGTTCATTCCTCTTCTGATGTTTGTTTGGGACATAAGGTCCTTCAGGCGGCTCTTGAGCTTCAAGCTACCCCATTTGGGCTATTGTTGAAGGGTTTATTGGCATTTTGTTTGCTGTGTAACCCACTGCTTATGTGATTGTTTTTGGATGTCCCACTTTTCTCAGAATTTACATTTCACAGAAGTACCCAAGTTCCAATATGGAGAGGTGCAGCAACCATACTAAGTGTCCATTCCTCATTACCACGGATTTATTACTATTGGGGCTACATAGGATTTACCTTCATACATTCATCAATTAAGATTGGGTATATCTGGCTGACAAACAGCTTTGTTTGCTAGTGTCCATTTACCTGTAGGCAGCAGTATAATCCATTTGTTTTAGAATTATGCTGATCCAGTCTCCTTTAATAAACTTCAAGGAAAAAAAAGATTTCACCGTTTTTTTTTTAAATATCACACATACGCCCATATATTGGATGTTATTTTATTGATGTCTTCGGGAGATAGGGAACATCTTTGCAAAACACAAATGGGTTTTCATTTACAGGGTCCTTGTATCCGCTCACCTTTTTGTTTTTCTAGAAAGTAATAAAATGTGTAAAATCTGTTTAAATACATGTCATGGCTTGCTTTCTGTGTACCTGGAGATATACAAAGTTATTTATGTCAATCAGAGAGAAACCTCTGACATGAATTTATAACCTGGCATACAGTATTCTGAAGAAGGTTGGCATGAGGCAGAAATAAAGTATATGTATAGCCCACCCTTTTCGTTAGTTTTGGATAGAGTGAGGAAAGAATTAGAACCCCTTTCAGGTTTTTATTCACCCTGGGGGGGCATTTTTAAGAATAGTCCTAGGCAGGAATTCCACTTTAAAGCGGGACTTTACCCATAACAATTTGATAAAAAATAATGTTCTTTTGCAGGATTGTACATTCCACATTAATAATTATGCTACCAAAATTGGTGTGTGCTGAAAATTGCCTCCAGTATTGTTCCTGTTTCTTCTTGCTTGGAGGCTGCCATTTTGCTGAAGCCCAGAGCCCCTGAGCAGCAGTAAATCTTTAGGCTTTCAGCAGATCGGCTTCTACATTTTCGGCACAGTGCTGAAAAATGGAGAGCAACTACAGAGCAGGGTGAAACTGTGTATTACTGGGTTTTAAACAGTATAGGCTCTTATTTTTAATACTTTACATTTCTATTTCTGCAAAAGGGGCCAGCATGCAGTGATCTGGTAGGACTTAATTTTCTGACTAAAGAAAATCTGGATATTGCAGGTGCTTTATGCAAGCTTAATTTACTGGTTCTTTTTTTTGGGGGGATGTTCAAGTAATGTTTGCTATAGAGTTGGACCAATCACACATCAGTTTTTGGTAGTGATCTGTTACTAAGGCTGGATTCACAGTATAGCGGTGCGGGAAATTGCATATAATTTGGACAGAAATGATACCACATTCCTGTTCAAATCACATGCGATTCTTTGCAGTGCGATTTGAGCCCATTCATTTTGTATGGGCTCACTTTACAACGCAACTGCATAAAAAAGATACAGGAATCTTTTTTTCATTTTTAAGCTGCACCGGAATCTGTGCGATCTGATTCTTGCAATTGCACTGCATTTTGCGATCTGTTTTGGGGTGTCATTAATTTGACATTGACATCGGTGGCAGATCTCATGAATGCAGGGCAATTTCAATGGGGGTGGGAAACGTTCAGAATTCACTGCATTTCCCGCACCATATATATGCGAATCGGCTCTGAAAGTCATATACTGTGCATACAGACTGACTTGTATCCAGTCCTGACAGCTGGCACAGTTAAAATGTTTTTCTGCTGTATTAAAAAATTTCTCCCGACCAGTCTGACTGTTCACGTTTCCCTTGGTGGTGCCTAGCAGACTGGGATTGTATTTTAGATACAGGTGGATAACATCTGTGGGGGGCCGTATAGGTTGGGAACTGTCTGCAGTACATCAAATGTCTCCTGGCTGTGTGTGTGTACTGATGGATAATTCTGACTACAGCTCTGCAGAAAACACAAGGTGGGCATCCTCTACTGCAAAGCCGGCCAGAGCTCAGAGGAGGAGATGTATAACAATGAAAGCGCTGGACCAGCTTTTGAGGAATTCTTGACCTTGTTGGGGGAAAAGGTCTGTCTGAGAGGCTTCCAGAAATATGCTGCCCAGCTGGACACCAAAAGTAAGTAGTTATCAGGAGATGCAATGCAGTATGGATATCAGATGTTACGTTTTAATGGACCAGGACCATCTTTCTTATATATCATGTATTTGTACTAGTCTTGCTTGACATTTTAAAATTGCAAGTTTTTTTAATTGTAAGCACTACACTGCACAAATTCCAGAATAACCTAACTAATCCTAAATATGTTCCCTCCCCCCTCCTAACACCTATGCTGACTAATCTGTGTAAGAAAAAAAGATGTATATACTTACCTATATCAGCCCACTCTGGTCTGGTCACATGATCCCCTGTGGCAGCTGCTGGGGAGAGGAGGGAGCGCCAACAACAGCTGGGAACGTGGGAGCTTATGAGTGAAATTACTGCTTCCAGAATTCCCAGCTGATTTCATGCGCTCTTTCCTCTCCCTTGTAGCTGCCACTGGCTGACATAGAAGAAAAAGATAAGTGTACACAGCTTTTTTACGCAGATTAGTCAGTATAAGTGTTAGGAGGGGGAAGGGGACATTTTTAAGATTAGTTAGGTTTAGGCTGGAATTCTACTTCATTTAAAAAGGGATAAAGCAGATACGTACATACATACATATACTGTTTATGTGTGTGTGTGTATATATATATATATATATATATATATATATATATATATATACACACACACACACACACACACACACACAGTCAGGTCCATAAATATTGGGACATTGACACAATTCTAACATTTTTGGCTCTATACACCACCACATGGATTTGAAATGAAACGAACAAGATGTGCTTTAACTGCAGACTGTCAGCTTTAATTTGAGGGTATTTACATCCAAATCAGGTGAACGGTGTAGGAATTACAACAGTTTGCATATATGCCTCCCACTTGTTAAGGGACCAAAAGTAATGGGACAGAATAATAATCATAAATCAAACTTTCACTTTTTAATACTTGTTTGCAAATCCTTTGCAGTCAATTACAGCCTGAAGTCTGGAACGCATAGACATCACCAGATGCTGTGTTTCATCCCTGGTGATGCTCTGCCAGGCCTCTACTGCAACTGTCTTCAGTTCCTGCTTGTTCTTGGGGCATTCTCCCTTCAGTTTTGTCTTCAGCAAGTGAAATGCATGCTCAATCGGATTCAGGTCAGGTGATTGACTTGGCCATTGCATAACATTCCACTTCTTTCCCTTAAAAAAACTCCTTGGTTGCTTTTGCAGTATGCTTTGGGTCATTGTCCATCTGCACTGTGAAGCGACGTCCAATGAGTTCTGAAGCATTTGGTTGAATATGAAAATAGCACACTTGAAATGAACTCTGGACCTTTTATGTGCTCATTGTAATTGGGATAATGAGGGAATAACACACACCTGGCCATGGAACAGCTGAGAAGCCAATTGTCCCATTACTTTTGGTCCCTTAACAAGTGAGAGGCACATATGCAAACTGTTGTAATTCCTACACCGTTCACCTGATTTGGATGTAAATACCCTCAAATTAAAGCTGACAGTCTGCAGTTAAAGCACATCTTGTTCGTTTCATTTCAAATCCATTGTGGTGGTGTATAGAGCCAAAAATGTTAGAATTGTGTAGATGTCCCAATAGTTATGGACCCGACTGTATGTACACGTGTGTGTGTATATATTAAGACAGAACCACAGTTGAAGCCAATTAGGGCTCATTTACACCACAATCCTCACATTCAGAATGCGGTTACACTTGCGAGTTTAAATGTGTTTTGACATTATTTTATTTTTACATGCAAAAAAAAAAATGCAAGATGCTGTGCTTTTGTTTTTAAATGCACATGAAAGCACCACAGTGAGTAAATAGGCTTATTGAAATACATTCATTTTCTCGCGTATGCATGTGTACTGCATTACAAAACGCAGACCTTAGTGTGTTTACTTTTCCTGCATCCCTCTCATCTTTTTTAAAATAACAAATTGGCCACATTTTAGCTCCAAGATTTCAGGCATAAGATTAGTACTCTTATTTGTATGATCACTTTTCCAATCATTTTACAATAGGTAAGAAGATAAGTCAATAACTTTTTCAAAGACTACTTGTTCAAGCACCTAAATACACAGTGTACTTTCAGATCAATTCCATTATTGCCAACATCAACTAATAAAAGCTTACTACACAATTACAAGACACAAAGGAGCTGCCTGACTAAAGGAGAAATGTGACTGCTGGTGGAGTAAACGTGTATAGAATGAATAAAGCAATTAAAATAGATCTAAACCAAAGCTGGATTTCATCTAATGTGCAAACACATGGAGGATAATTTATCAAACCTGGAGTCATTTTGTATATCAACCAATCAGATTCTATCTTTGATTTTCAAAGGTTAAAAGATAATTTCACTTTTAAAAAAAAAAAAATTAAAGAAATAAAATAGTACATGCACATTTTTTTTTTGCAGGTAAAAAAAAAATGCATTTATTTATTTTTGTTAGGAACTTGTAAAGCATTGCACCTACGATCAGCAGATCGTGGGTGTAATGCCACGGTCCTGCAGACTGTCTGTGTATCTGTCAGCAGATCTTGGGTGTACGGTCCTGCATGCCGTATTTGGCAGATCCCATGCAGACTGTCTGTGTATCTGTCAGCAGATCGTGGGTTTAATGCCATGGTCCTGCAGACTGTCTGTGTATCTGTCAGCAGATCGTGGGTGTAATGCCACGGTCCTGCAGACTGTCTGTGTATCTGTCAGCAGATCGTGGGTGTAATGCCACGGTCCTGCAGACTGTCTGTGTATCTGTCAGCAGATCGTGGGTTTAATGCCACGGTCCTGCAGACTGTCTGTGTATCTGTCAGCAGATCGTGGGTTTAATGCCACGGTCCTGCAGACTGTGTATCTGTCAGCAGATCGTGGGTGTAATGCCACGGTCCTGCAGACTGTCTGTGTATCTGTCAGCAGATCGTGGGTGTGATGCCACGGTCCTGCAGACTGTCTGTGTATCTGTCAGCAGATCGTGGGTGTAATGCCACAGTCCTGCAGACTGTCTGTGTATCTGTCAGCAGATCGTGGGTGTAATGCCACGGTCCTGCAGACTGTCTGTGTATCTGTCAGCAGATCGTGGGTTTAATGCCACGGTCCTGCAGACTGTCTGTGTATCTGTCAGCAGATCGTGGGTGTAATGCCACGGTCCTGCAGACTGTGTATCTGTCAGCAGATCGTGGGTGTAATGCCACGGTCCTGCAGACTGTCTGTGTATCTGTCAGCAGATCGTGGGTGTCATGCCACGGTCCTGCAGACTGTCTGTGTATCTGTCAGCAGATCGTGGGTGTAATGCCACGGTCCTGCAGACTGTCTATCTGTCTGCCGTACCTCTGATACGGGCAGGCAGTTACACACTGAAATGAAGCTTGATGAGCTACCTATAATGCGCTCTGCTAGTTCATTGAAAAGTACAAGCCGATAGCCACAGAACACTGTGAGTGAATGACAGGGCTGGGCTTGCGGAGCCCCGCAGGGCTGAGTTTTTTTTCTTGTGTAGCTAATGGTACTATAGGTTGATACAAAACTCACAGGCACTGAATAGCTTAGTAATGGAAATAGTTGGTTTTGGCCCAAACAAATGATTTAAAGTGACAGGAAACCTGGACTTCAGCTTTATATGCGCATATAATATTATGGAAAGATTTTTGTTGGAATGAATAGTCTTCTGTCTCCTAAACATGTTCACGCTTTTATGTGTTTGTAGGGACAGGTTTAGATCTAGTTTAACTCCTTCCCCCTGGCCGTACGCATATATGTGGCCTCTTGACGGGTGGGCCTCAACACCTAGAGGCCACATATATTTGTACCTAAAGATAACCAAAACTCTGGCGAGTGCATGTACCGTGCACGCTCCTGGCACAGTTGCCGCTAATTGATAGCACCCGATCTCTACTTGCAATCGGGAGCTTTCAGGTCATGTGTCTGCTTTGACAGCCAATCACGGCGGACACATGATCATAAAAATTGCCCCACCTCCAGGCATCTGAAACCTCTCAAAGGGCCACCAAACGCCAAGGGGTTGAAGTAGAACTTCATTCAAAGCATAAAGTTCTGCCGGTTTGCTCCCTCCCCCCAGCCTGTTAGAATTTTAATTTTGGCTGGGGGTGGTTTCAAGTACCAATCACCCTCTCCCACTTCCACAATCCTTGTTTAGGTGAGATGGCACACCTTGCTCCACCTCCCCCCGTTTCAAAGCCTCCTGGGACATGTCCTTTTTCTCAGGGGGCTGCAGGACCATTAGCAGAATGCTATGCATGTTTGTGCATGTGTAGTGGGGCGCAAGCTGCCAGCTCCCATATCCAAGATGGCCGCTTTGGGGATCTGCAGTGGTAAGACGAACCTGTTGTGAGAAGACAGTGCTGGACTGTAAATACCTGATTTTTAGCTGCTGACTTAAACAGAAAAAAAAAAGAAATTAAAGTTTCTCTTTTAATTTCTTCTAGACGTGATTAGATATTTGAAGCAAACCTGATTCCCTTCACCACTAGTAAAAAATCACCCTAAAATGTGCTTTGATTGCTTCTCAGCAAATTGGGGGAGATTTTCTAAAACTGGTGCACTCAGAATCTGGTGCAGCTGTGCATAGAAACCAATCAGCTTCTAACTTCAGTTTGTTCAATTAGGCTTTGACAATAAAACCTGAAAGCTGATTGGTTTCTATGCAGAGCTGCACCAGATTTTACACTCTCCAGTTTTAGTAAATAACCATCATCTGTAGTTTATACCTCTGGTTACAATGTTTGAAAATCCAATTTTCCAAAGTTCTTGCCACTTCTGGTATTTGTCGCAATTTCAGGAGTCAACAGGCATCCTCTGTTTCTGGCATCGCGCTATGTCCAAACCAGAAATTATGTGATCCCAGGCAGAGTTAGGTGCCATTTTTAAATTCAAGGACTTACTGAATTGATTATTTGGGGGATCGAGCAGCGGCGGTGACACTTGCCTCTGCTTCCGCATTCCCCTTTGTTGACAAGTTGTCGTAGCAAGATAACAGAGTGGGAACATCCGCCGACATTGCCTTTGCTATGGTAACTTGACTGCACAGTGATACCATGCATGCGCGGTAGCCAGCGGCACAAAATACAACTAACATGGCCACCGCCAGCTGTTCTATAGTAACAGTTCAGGTAGGGATTTAAATAATTTAGACACCATCATCATTATTAACAAGACCTAAGAATAGCGATCATTAAGAAGCAAAAACAACTTTAATGTTCTATATACTAATCGGCTGACGTAGAACTCTGTACTGTTGAATAATTCTCCACCCATTGTTCTGGCTTTGTGCAGCCTCTATACATCTAATAAGCTCCTGCCTGCAAAAGTGTCAGATTTGAAAAAAAAAAGTCACTAAAACTGCTGATTTACCCCTCCTGATTACTTGGCAAAGGAAACATCAATTAAAAAGCAGCCTGCTTTGCGAGGCTGTGATCTTGTCACACACTTGACAGATTCACTTTAAGCGGAGGCACATTTTTTGCAACGCTGCTCTGCGCTTGCCAAATGTATCGTGAGGCAGCCATTCAAACCCACAGGATCTTATTGAAGACATGTGACAATGTCGACTTAACCAAAATACAGTTTGTTTGTTTGTTCTTACAAAATCAAAATTAAAGACTAAATGCTTTCTAGAAGTAAGCCCTCCATCTTTCCATGCACTAGCTCTTTGAAAGGCTTTGATAGTGTGACACTGGTTCTTGTTACATGCAGCAAGATCATTTCCACCTAATTAATTTGTAGAACGTTATAAAGCTGGCTGGCTATAAAGGACTGTATTAGAGTAATGGGGGACAGTCCCTCCAAAAGTGAGACATTGGGAGGCCTGTTTCTGTTCTATTTCCTTATACATCTGACTCTTTATTTTATTTGGTCTACAACATTACATACAACCATCTTCAGCTGAAAGAGGAACTTCACTCCCTTCCCCCCACCCATTTCCTCCTATCTATGATACCTGGCTCTCATCAGAAAGCAGGCGCACCAAAAGATCCAGCATTGTCCTACTGTGATCAGGTGTCACGGCCTATGTCCACGCCTCCATCTTGGTGCACTCAGTCTTCGGGGAGCCTGGCTGCCTCTTCTAGGTTTAGGTAGCCAGTCCTCTCATGTCCACCCACCAGCTGCTCTGTGAAAGGGGTCCCACAGCCTCCTGAGATATGTTACAGAAATATTCCAGGAGGCTACAGGGCTAGGACACCTCAATCCACCTAGGTCACATGGAAATAGAGCAAGCCAGGGGAAAAAATAAATTATATATATCCTCTGTGAGCTTCGTGCAGGGTTCCCCGGCTGGCAGGAGCTCCGGACTCTAGCGGCCATGTCAGGACTCGGCAGATCACACCCCCCCCAGTTGATTCCTGAGTCCCGACATGGCCACTTGAGTCCGGAGCCCCTGCCGGCCGGGGATCCCTGCACAAAGCTCACAGAGGATCAGCCTCCAAAGGTGGAGATATCCTTGTTTTGAGCTGTATTATCCGGTGATGTTGGAGTATCATGGAGCTGTTCCTGGATGCTGAGAGGGTCCTGTGAGAGAGGTCTGGAGTTGCCTTGTATGCCGATTGTGTGCCAGATGATTCCACTATTCTTACCCGTACCAAGATGACCATAGAAGATAATGTATATACATGCGCTTTAATATTGCGCTTCTGGTGAGTGCAGTCATATTACCGGTTCCCATCACAGATATCACGAGCAAGGATTACTTTTGGACTTTGAAGTTGCTAATTATCTGTCATAATATTTCATCATACACTAAAGTCACTTTTTTCTAATATATTTATTCACCTATCTATACGTCAACATATGACGGTACACTGTATATTTATATTCATGATATCACTTTCAGCACTATCAAGCGCTCACGTCAGTCACTTTGTCATTTTAGCGCTGCATTTTTATATATATTAGGAGCAGGAACATGTAATATGTTCCCAAAGGTCAACTTATTCTTTAAAATCCTGCCATGCAAAATGTGGTTTACCCAGTCAATTCTCCTTTTGTAGAAGGTATGTTTTCATACCTCTCCCAGTGTGCATTGCCTGAAGTCTCCCTGTATGTTCTCTATTCTCTAGGCTTTCCAAAATTCCAATTAATCAGTCATCCTCCTGTTGCTTTTTTTTTTTCTAGCGGATTCCACTGGATCACACTCATTGTATACCAACTACCAGGACTATGAAATCATGTTCCATGTGTCAACAATGCTGCCATACACCCCTAATAACAGACAACAGGTATGTCCCTCTATTCTATGGAAATTGGAGTGCAGCATGGCACAGCACACTGTAGTTGATGAATCCTTATGATTACTAAGCAATTTGCGGTATATTATGCGACCACCTGAGAGCTTTTCATAAAGATGTTTCTGTGTGTGTGAACCTGCCAGACATGCAGAGGTTTCAGAAGAATTATCTTGCGGGAGGTCTTCTTCATGAAGTATAATCCTAGATTTTGGGCACAAACAGACAAGCTTATATAGATGCTGAAATTTGAAAGTGTAAATATGAAGTACACCACTTCAATACAAGCACATTTATTTCCTCATATTTTGTCCCTGTAAAAATGTTACTACGGTAAAATACTTCTTGAAATCCAGTGTGCTCTTATATTCCTTTTTTGGATAGACAACACTGACTTTGCTGCACTCAAATCCCAATCACTGTTTTCTGTATTACAAAACTCTGGCTATCCCCCACCCCTATCTGTCCCTTTTTCTCAATCGTGCATTGATTTATATTCCAGCAAAACAGTTCTGCTACCCATGCCTCCCAGGGGCCTGTCCACACACTGTGTATAGGGAAAGAGCTATTGGGAGATGTAGTTCTGGGTGGCATGTTTACATTAATAGGAACTGAGCTCATAGCTGCCCTTGCTCAACATTTACAAGCCTAGTGATGATGTCATATGGAGTAACAAAAGCTTATTCTTGCTATTGGCACAAAGTAATAAAAAAAGAAAGCAATCCTGAGACATGCTCTAGAGTGGTGGTCTCCAAAATGCAGCCCTTTGCTTACTTTTATCCAGCCCTTTGGGCATTATTCACCCCACTGTCAGCAACAGTGGGGCATAGTTGCTGACACTGACAATGGGGCACTAGTTCTCTCATACCAACCATTGATACCAATGATAGGGCATGGTTCCTCCCATTGATACCAGTGATGGGGCACTGTTCCTCCCATTGATACCAGTGATGGGGCACTGTTCCTCCCATTGATACCAATGATGGGGCACTGTTCCTCCCATTGATACCAATGATGGGGCACTGTTCCTCCCATTGATACCAATGATGAGCACTGTTCCTTCCACTGATACCAATGATGAGGCACGGTTCCTCCCATTGATACCAATGATGGGGCACGGTTCCCATTGATACCCATCCCATTGATACCAATGATGGGCAACGGTTCCTCCCATTGATACCAATGATGGGGCACGGTTCCTCCCATTGATACCAATGATGGGGCACGGTTCCTCCCATTGATACCAATGATGGGGCACGGTTCCTCCCATTGATACCAATGATGGGGCACGGTTCCTCCCATTGATACCAATGATGGGGCACGGTTCCTTCCACTGATACCAATGATGGGGCACGGTTCCTCCCACTGATACCAATGATGGGGCACGGTTCCTCCCACTGATACCAATGATGGGGCACTGTTCCTCCCATTGATACCAATGATGGGGCACGGTTCCTCCCATTGATACCAATGATGGGGCACGGTTCCTCCCATTGATACCAATGATGGGGCACGGTTCCTCCCATTGATACCAATGATGGGGCACGGTTCCTCCCATTGATACCAATGATGGGGCACGGTTCCTCCCATTGATACCAGTGATGGGGCTCGGTTCCTTCTACTGACACCAATGATGGGGCATTTTTTACTACCACTGACGCCGCAACATTTTCTTCCTCCACTGGTCACAGTCTGGCCCCCCTGAAGTTTGAAGGACATTAAAATGGCTTTTTGTTTAGAATGTTTGGAGATCCCTGCTCTGGCAGGGTAGAGGAAGGGTATTAGTATTGTAGGCATTTATATAGTTCTGGCAATTTACGCAGTGCATTACTTACTGTACATTCACATCAGTCCCTGCCATCAAGAAGAAGTTTACTATCTAAAGTCTATTGTTCACATGCATACTTGCATGCACACACATACCAGGGCCAATTTTAGACAGGAGCCGAAAATTGACCAGTATGTTATTGTAGTGTGGGAAGAAACCGGAGTACCTGAAGAAGACCCATGCAAGCAAAGGGAGAACATTTAAACTGGTCAGGATTGGGGGTGAATTTGGGTAATGCTTAGACATACACTATAAGTCCCTTTCAGACCGGAGGGTCTCTTGCCCCAAAAGTGCTCCATGCCATAATTTGGAGCCTTTTCTCTTGTAGTGGTCATCTGCTCCTTGGGGAATTTTTTTTTTTTTTTATGCTATAATTCTCAATTACAAAATCTCTGTCGTGAAAAGCTTTTGAGTGACCCTGCTCTAAAAGGGTGTTTTAATAGGCAATTACTAAGTCTTTCCTGCCTCTCTTAAAGTAGATGTTTGATCAGCTTAAAGGAGGGATTGTGGGGAATTGCTTTAATCTTGGTTCATTCTGTCTGTAGTGAACCGTCATTTAGACCGGCTGTAGTCACAGGACATATTCACGAACTCTCTGCTCAAGGACTTCTGTGTAACATTTATTATGTCCAGTTACAGAATGTTCAAAGGAGGTGTACAGCAGTACAAAGGAACTTTGTGCGTCCATCATTCTGATGTTTCCTACAGCTGGACTGTACAGATTTTCTGAGCAAATTCTCTGCTTTAGGCATGTCATCGAAGGTCTGCATTAGAAGCATTAGTGGGGCCCCACCTGAATAGGGCATTTTCCTCATACCATGTGCATTCTGTCTGTAGATCACTGTCTTATTACTAAAACAACGTTTTCCTTTGTACATAGTGTCATCCAATAACCCTATATGTAATCGTATTTATCATACCATACCTTCTACCAACAAATATGAACATATACTAAAATATTAATCCAACAAAAGTTTAGAATAAGGGATCCCTTGACATGTCTTTGCTGCTGTCTGGGGCTCCAATAAAGAGATTTCCAATCACATGCTCTTCTGGTACAATGGTTTTCCTAAACAGAAAGTAGGAGAAAACATGCAACAGCAATATTGGTAGAAATAAGCTGCTGAGAGTTCTAGCTTCTTCTACTTAAAGTGGTTTTAAAGGTTTTTTTACCCGAATACATTCTCTGCATTTAGGAAAAAAAAAAGTTTAATAGTGGCTCCTTTGAAGCCCCCCCTTAATACTTACCTGAGCTCTGTCTCGATCCAGTGCTGTGCACGTCTGCCGCAGCTCTTCTCGCCTCTCCTCTCTCTCAAAGGCTTGGCTGAGAGCAGCTGGGGCCATTGACTTCTGCTGCTGTCAGTCAAAATCTGTCAGCAGAGAGCAGGGGTTGGAGCCGAGCCAGGCTGTGTGTCTAAATCGGAGATGCAAACTGTCCGTCTCAGGATGAAGCAAGCACGAGTTTCCCCATACGAAGCGGCTTCCCATGCGGGCACTCGGTTTGGGGGGGGGCCAGGAGCACTGGCGGAGAGACCCCAGAAGAGGAGTTTGGGGCTGCTCAGTGCAAATCCACTGCATAGAGCAGATAATTATAACTTTTATTATATTAATTAAAAAAAAATAGAAATGTTTTTTCTTTTAAAGTGACTAAAGTATTTGTCTATTTCTAAAAGACCTCTTTTTCTGTCTGTGTTGCTGATGGAGATTTTTATTTTTTCACTTCCTGGCTTGGAAAATTTATGACATTAGAGGGGGGCAATCTCTCTAACAAGAGTGCCAGTTATCCTTAATAAAACTGGTTTTAATCCGTTCCTAATTGAAAACTAGAAAAATAAGTATCTTAATTGTACAGTACAGAACATAGGATCTGTAGTCCTAGACCAAGGGTCTACCATTAGATGATTGAACACTGGCAAAAGCTTTGCTGGGAATGCACCCTAGATCATTTTCATATAACTACACTGACTCCTTGGAACTTCAGTTTTTAGGTGATATACCTCTTCCCCTTGGAGAAGTTTCTACACTGATCCTTTTTATTTTTCTTCATTAGTTCTTTTTTTGTAGGCCTATTTGCGTTTGTTTGCTAAATTGCTGCCCACCTCTCAGATTATCGCTTGTCCTGAGGTCCATGTCTACAGATCCTGTGTCCTGTACTGTATGATTAAGAAAATGGGAAAATTGGCCTATCTGTAAATTCAATATCTTGGAGTACAGTAAGGGACACAGGTCCCTCCCCTATGTTCTCTTTCTCCTTATTGCTTGTTAAAAAAAAAATGGGATTATAGGCAATAGCAAGCAATAAGGAGAAAAGGAGGGGAGGGACCTGTGTTCTGTACTGTACTCCAAGATACTGAAAATACAGGTACATATTCTTAAGGACCCAGGATTTGTAGTCCTAGACCATGTCCGTAATCTAAGGGGTGGGCAGAAATTTAGCAAACAGGAAATAGGCCTACAAGAAAAGAAAAGCTGTAGGACTACAAAAAAAGGAGTGAATAAAAAAGATTGGTGCAGAAACTTCTCCAAGGTAAAGAGGTCCATCACCTAGGGACACTAGCACAGAGTGGGTGGAGTTATAAGAGCAAACTGGGATACATTCCCAGCAAAGCTTTTGCCAGTGTCCAATTACTTGCATCTATAATCCATTGTGTATGACTACATATCCTGTACTGTACTCCAGAATATAAAATAAACCAGAAAATGTACAGCTAAGTCAAATATTAAATATAATGTATGAGTATGGCTGTAAACTACTTGATGGATGGTGGTTTTTATGTTGCCAGTTAGCTTATCTCTTTCAGAAATGACCTGCAACTGGGGCTAACTTTTGGATATAGTATACTGGATTGACTGAACTAAAGACATAGTCTTTTGCTGCAGCTGATGACTACATGGTTTCTAATGCTATTGTTTTTTTTAGTTTTTATAGTAGCTGTAATCATCATTTCTAACTGATTCTCTGTGTCTGTCCTTCTCTCATTCCAGCTTCTTAGGAAAAGACACATAGGAAATGACATTGTGACCATCATCTTCCAGGAGCCCGGTGCTCTACCCTTACTCCTCAGAATATTCGCTCACACTTCCAGCATGTCTTTATTATTATTCGAGCCCATGAGCCTTGCACTGAAAATGTCTGCTACAGGTGCGTTCTTTCCACTTCAGTTTTTGCTCCCTTAGACGACTAGGTAATTGGAAGGTAGAGATAGATTTAGGTTTTCATTGCATCAGATATTTCCCCTCATTCTGAAGCTCCCTCTTTGTTTTAGGGGTTCCCTCCAAAGAGTTTTTGGGTGTCTTTTTAATTACTGAAACGTGAGTTCTGAGGCTGATCAAAGTAATAAAGTTTCAATCTGTGTATTAACAGCAGAACATTTTAACGCAGTTAGGTCAGAATTGATAAGGATGGCAACTGACATTGTTCCGCATTTTCCAAACCCTTTACAGTTCTAGGTTTTCTTAATAAATAACATTTTATCTGTTTGACAAACTGGGCCTGTGTGCAGCCCTTTGGGACTGACTTTAAAATACACTTTTAATGACAGAAATAAGCTGGCCTTGTGAAAATAATAACTTTTCAGTTCTGTCTGTTATCAGTTCTTTTGAACTAGAGACTTGCAACAAGCACTCAGCAAACACAAGTATGAAATGAATACTTCCTTATCTGTATTTTTGTTCTCATTCATTGACTCAAAAAGCTCTGAAACCAAATCTGCATGACTAAGTGAATACCATAAAGTGCTGCACGTCACGTCACATTACTTTAACTTTATTTTTATATTTAAATTTAAAGTCCTCAGTCCAATAATAATTCTATATATGTATAGGATAATCCTATATATCCTCCTTAGCCACACATCTCTGATCTTCCAGTGATGCTTTTCCAAAAGAATTAGGAAAGATGATTTCAGCATGCTTGGAAGGAACATAAAAGTTGCAAATTTCAGGAAGAATTGTCTTTTTGGTACCCGACACTCAGGAATGGTGGATGGTTGCTTATAAAATAGACAACTATTGTTGCATATTTTTAGAAGGCACTATACTGTTGCATAACAGGGTACAGGCAAGCATATGCAAATTGTCTCACAGAAAAAGGCGGCCTGTAGACTTCCAGTGATGTCAAAGGCTCCTCCCAGCTAGTTGCGTCACAGAGTCACGTGACTTCTTAAGGGGATAACCTGGTTAGTGTATTATAAAATCTACAACTGCAGTAGGCTATATTTCATAATCAAATATCAACCATTCCTGAGTGTTGGATACCAAAGAGACAATTCTTCCTGAAATGTGCAACCTTTATGTTCATTCCAAGCATCACTGGAAGATCAGAGATGTGCGGTTGAGGAGGATTGCTGAGTGAAGCCATAACAGCTAAAGAGTATATAAAGCCAAAAGAGGAGAAGTGGATGAGCCTTGTCTATATGGGAAAATTGCAATGAGTCCTATATGAGGGACGCAAATTTAACAGTACAGTCATACGCTCTAGGTGTGAGAACATCTGCTGGAGGGCATCTATGTCTCTTTTATTGTATTGGCACAGAGTGGTTAATAAGAGATTGAAGAAGTTATTCATAGAGGCATAACACTGAGGATTGTGATTCCAGTGCACTGTGGATGACGCATATACAGTGCCTTGAAAAAGTATTTATACCCCTTGCAATTTTCCACATTTTGTCATGTTACAATAAAAATGTAAATGTAGATTTTTGGGATTTTATGTGATTGACCAACACAAAGTGGCACATAATTGTGAAGTGGAAGGGAAATGATAAATGGTTTTACCATTTTTTACAAATAAATATCGAAAAAGAGTGGCGTGTATTTGTATTCAGCCCCTTTTATTCTGATACCCCTAAATAAAATCTAGTGGAACCAATTGTCTTCTGAAGTCACCTAATTTGTAAATAGAGTCCACCTGTGTGTAATTTAATCTCAGTATAAATACAGCTGTTCTGTGAAGCCCTCAGAGGTTTGTTAGAGAACATTAGTGAACAAACAGCATTGTGAAGGCCAAGGAACACACCATACAGGTCAGGGATAAAGTTGTGGATAAGTTTACAGCAGGGTTTAGTTTATAAAAAAATATCCCAAGCTTTGAATATCACATGCAGCACTGTTCAATCCATCATCCAAAAATGGAAAATGTATGGCACAACTGCAAACCTACCAAAACATGGCCGTCCACCTAAACTGACAGGCCGGGCAAGGAGAGCATTAATCAGAGAAGTAGCCATAAGGCCCATAGGAACTCTGGAGGAGCTGCAGAGATCCACAGCTCAGGTGGGGTAATCTGTCTACAGGACAGCTATTAGTTTTGCACTCCACAAATCTGGAATTTATGGAAGAGTGCCAAGAAGAAAACCATTGTTGAAAGAAAGCCATAAGAAGTCCTGTTTGCAGTTTGCAAAAAGCCATGTGGGGGACACAGCAAACATGTGGAAGGAAGAAAGGTGCTCTGGTCAATTGAGACCAAAATTGAACTTTGTGGCACAAAAGCAAAACGCTATGTGTGGCGGAAAACTAACACTGCACATCACCCTGGACACACCATCCCCACTGTGAAACGTGGTGGCAGCATCATGCTGTGGGGATGCTTTTTTTCAGCAGGGACAGGGAAGCTGGTCAGAGTTGATGGGAAGATGAATGGAGCTAAATACAGAGCAATCTTAGAAGAAAACCTGTTAAGGTCTGCAAAAAACTTGAGACTGGGGCGGAGGTTCTCCTTCCAGCAGGACAACGACCCGAAACATACAGCCAGAGCTACAATGGAATGGTTTAGATCAAAGCATATTCATGTGTTAGAATGGTCCAATCAAAGTCCAGACCTAAATCCAATTGAGAATCTGTGGCAGCTTGAAAATTGCTGTTCAAAGATATTCTACATCCAATCTGACAGAGCTTGAGATATTTTGCAGAGAAGAATGGGCAAACATGTCCCTCTTTAGATGTGCAAAGCTGGTAGAGACATCCCCAAAAAGACTTGCAGCTGTAATTGCAGCAAAAGGGGGTTCTATAAAGTATTGACTCACATATTTATTTGTAAAAAAATTTGCAAACCATCTATCACTTTCCCTCCACGTCACAATTATGTGCCACTTTGTGTTGATCTATCACATAAAATCCCAATAAAATACATTTATGTTTTTGATTGTAACATGACAAAATGTGGAAAATTTCAAGGGCTATGAATACTTTTTCAAGGCACTGTATAGGATTACTGTTGGATGAAGAACTTGAAATTTAAATATAAAAATAATGTTATAGTAATGTGTGTAATTTTGTCAGATGAACATATTATACGAGAGTGTGTATGGTGTGAGCCATTCACAAAAGTGAGTATTTGTAACACAGCAGCTCACACGGGTTTTTGGTATTCAAAGCAGCATGACTTGTTAGAGAACTAGTATTTTCAGATGGTGATTTCTGCAGTGGCATCCCACATATCCCACATATTTCATGTTTGCTGTAAGCACCAATGTTTATGTTTCTCCTGCATGGAGGTGGACAAGTTGCTTGTGACAGGTAATGGAGCAGCATAGCTGACATGACTTGATCATACTGTGACTATGTGACTTGATTGTAGAAGATAATTTTATGCTACTTTACCAGTTTCTACAAGTGAAGGTTTTTGATACAAGTATCAGGGTGGGGTGGAGGGTGGTTTTCGTTTATGAACTTTCTTTTTTTCTGATGCCTTTTGCTTTCACAACATATATTTCACAGCGCTGTCTCTTTAGCAGTTCTGTATTGTTTAAAAACCGTATGGTATAAGCTGTAATGTGCTCTTAACACCTAAAAATGCATTTACAATGAACTGATCCTTTGGATTTAATTATGGATTTCAGTATTAAGCTAGTTCTGGGGTGTATGACCATAGTAGTGTGCAAGGAGGCCTCCACTGGACTTTGCACATTCTGGTGGAGGTTCATATTCATTATATATTGGCTGTAACCAAGCTGTTTCTAGATATTATAGAGAAGGGACTGGGAGCTGAATAGATTCAGTCCTGACTGGTGATTAGGGATAAGCTCAGGCGTGTTCGAATCCCAGATTTGAGCTATCCTGCCAGGAAGCTGTCACTGCATAAGCGGCCGAGGTATTCCCCACCCTGCAGCTGCATTTATAGAAGGGACGCCTATGATTGGCTTTGTGCATTGACAGCTTTCTATCAGGATAGCTCTGGTAGCCACAAACTAGCATCCGAATACACCAGAGCTCATTCCTGGTGGTGAACAAAGTAGCATGGCCTAAACGCTTGAAAGTTTTAGAACTTTGTAGCAGATGACCTAAATTATTTAAAAAAAAAAAAAAAACCTTTTTGTTCAAAATTACAATGAACACAAACACATTTTATTTATTTATTTCTGGTACTTATACAGCGCCGTCAATTTACGCAGCACTTTACATATATATTGTACATTCACATCAGTCCCTAACCCTCAAGGGGCGTACAATCTAAGGTCCCTAACTCACATTCATACATACACATACAAGGGCCAATTTAGACAGGATCCAATTAACCTATCAGCATGTGTTTGGAGTGTGGGAGGAAACCGGACACACATGCACAGGGAGAACATGCAAACTCCAGGCAGGTGGTGCCGTGGTTGGGATTCGAACCAGCAACCCTAGTACTGCCAGGCGGAAGTGCTAACCATTTAGCCACTGTGCTGCCCACATAAACCACCATTGGTCTTAATAAAGGCATTATTATTATTTATTATTATTATAATACAGGATTTATATAGCGCCAACGGTTTGCTCAGCGCTTACCAATATAAAGGGAGACAATACAGCAACAATACAGTTTCAATACAAGAGGGTTAGAAGGGCCTGATCCTTGGAGCTTATTATAGAACTGATTATATTGGTAGTAATATGGATAGGCAGCATGACAGTTAAGGTGTTACTAAACCCAGGACCTTGCAGTCACTATATCTGGTCTCCCACAGCACACACTACATGGAAATGCAATTATTTTAGTAAATATAAACTGCTAAATACCTTTTCCCATCAGCAGTTAGAGCAGTCTTGTGACTTCTATCAGTGTCCTGCAGAGTACTGGCTAAAGCTTGAAGGAGAAGTTTTCTTTGCTGTAGGAGGATGCAGCTCTGACCTCTCTGGACAGCACTGATTGGCCCTGTGTTGATCACATGCACTCTCCCAAGAAAAAAAAAACCCTCTCTAGCAATACACATCAGAGCATGTGCAGAGTGTCTCTACATGATATGTCTTATCAGGAGATAAGAGGGGGACAGTAGAAGAAGTGGAGGATCAGAGAAGTCAGGATCAAACCGCATTTTTACACAATGCGTAGGATTAACCCCTTAGGTTCCATAGTGACTTATACAGACTGATTTTGCTATTGTGGGTTTAGTAACACTTTAAGTAGTTAGCACTTTTTCTTTGCAGTGCTGGGATCTCGTGTCCCTTTGCATCCAGGAACATGATCCACATGATACGTTCACTTCTTGTTTCATTTGATTTCCTTCCAAATCCCCAAAAACATTCTGGTGGTTTGACAGTCTTACACATAACAATGTGGTCGTACTATTTGTGTAAGTGTGTGTATCACTGGTGGGGGCATTGGATTAGCTTTGTTAGGGGCAGTGACTGGTTTGAATGGCCTTTGTGCTTTTAGGGCAACTGAATTTGCTAAAGCCATGGAAATGGTTGAAACATGAAAAAAGAAATAACCATGTTTGTCACAATGTAGCCTATTTACTACTCCTGCTTGTTCTCAACAGAGTGGCTGTAACAAGATCCAAAGATGTCCCTCCATTTGGTCCTCCAATCCCCAATGGTGTCACGTTTCGGAAATCCGATGCGTTTCGTGACTTTCTTCTGGCCAAAGTGATTAACGCAGAGAATGCGGCACACAAGTCAGACAAATTCCACACAATGGCTACTCGTACAAGGCAGGAATATCTCAAGGACTTAGCTGAGAACTATGTCACCAATACACCTATTGATACCACAGGCAAGTTTAACCTAATCTCCCTGACGTCCAAGAAGAAAGAGAGGACCAGAGCACGGTCCGGAGCGGAGCTGAACAGTACTGGTGCCCTGTGCTGGCGGGTCATAGCTCAAGACTTCTCGCAGGCAGCGGAGACAGAGTGCGCTTTAGGCATCTCAAATGAGTTCATGGTCCTAATAGAGACTGCAACAAAGGAAGTGGTGTTTAACTGTTACTGTGCTGATGTCATTGGCTGGACACCAGAACCACTGTCCCTCAAGATTTTTTATGGTCGCGGTGATCATATCCTTGTAAGGACACTGGATAGTAATGGAGAAGATATCCGAGAGATTGTTCAAAGATTGAAAGTGAGTAAAACGTTTTTTAGGTTATCGTTGCTTTCAGATACATAGGGGGAGGTATGGTGGGAGTCTTGGAGCAGATGAAATATACTGGTAATACCAGTGACAACCAGTTGAGGTTTTAGATGCCTCTAACCTCCGCTAGTAAATTATACATGGCATTTCCTGTGGGAAATGCCTCCTTTTTTACACACATTTGATAATTTAAAGTTTGTGTTCACCTTTTAAGAAAAAATGAGCCTTCCCACCTCTCCGGTCCCTGCTGTACTTACCTCTGTGGAGGATGATCTGTCTGTGCCCACGCAACCGGTGCAGTGCTTCAGGGATTTTAAAAATGAGCCTTCCCACCTCCTCGGTCCCTGCTGTACTTACCTCCGTGGAGGATGAGCTGTCTGTGCCCACGCAACCGGTGCAGTGCTTCAGGGATTTTAAAAATGAGCCTTCCCACCTCCCCGGTTCCTGCTGTACTTACCTCCATGGAGGATGAGCTGTCTGTGCCCACGCAACTGGTGCAGTGCTTCAGGGATTTTAAATCCCTGTTCTTCTCCGCCTTTTTTTTTCCCCACAGGGCTTCTGGGATGGATTAGAGTGATTCTGATTGGTCAGCACTGGCACACAGCATTACTCTAATCTGTCCCAGAAGCCCTGCAGGGAGAAGAGCAAGGATTTCACATCCCTAGACCACTGCACCGGTTGCATGGGCACTGACCGCTCATCCCCACCCAGAGATGTAAGTAAAGGTTTATTCAAAATAGTAAATAGTAGTCAGGGGCGGACTGACCATTCGAACACTCTGGCACTGCCCGTGGGCCCGGGGTCAGTAGGGGGCCCCATGAAATGCCCCTGGTACCTTTTTTATAGGCTTTTTTGGGTGTGCGTTGAGTGTGAGCAAGGACACGGGGCCCCATGATCCCCTATTGCCCAGGGGCCCCATGAGTTGTCAGTCCGCCCCTGATAGTAGTAAAACTATTTGTTGCAAATGATTCTGAAAAGCAGGAGCATTGCTTTTGGCAGCTAAAACAAAAAACAATCATTGAAACATAGGAGATAATTGGCATGTACGTACCTTATAATTTTTGTCTTGAAGATTCTGGGAAATATTGCTTCACTTTTTCTTTTATTATTATTACTCCCTACTGATAATCTGATACATTCACACGCTTATTGGTGAATGCTATATAAAAACCATTATGGCCATTTAACCTCTTCCCGTCCAGCCCATGTAGATAAAAGGCCGGGCGGGAGCGCTGCCGAAGTGGGTGGACGTTTCTAAATTCCCCCCCCCCCCCCCCGCATCCATTGCCTTTGCGCGCTCCCTGGGAGTGTGCGGCAGCGCGATCAGTGCCTGCTGTGTCCTCCAGACAGAGCGGAACACCGATCGCTGTACACAGAGGTCCCAATTCATGTGATCACTGATTGGCTAATCAGCGATCACACATGAATAGTAGTAAACAAGTTGTCACTTCCTGACATCATTGCTTACTACGTGTGAAATCTGTGTTGATCACAGAGATCACATGGTACAAGGCTATTCACAACAGCCTTGTACCATGTGACCAGCTGTGACCAATCACAGGTCTCACAGTATTTCTCAATGGCTGCAGGAATGCAGCCAGAGAAAAGGAGAAATTATTGCTTTTACAGCTTTTATAGGTATAAAAGCAATCAGTGTAAAAAAAGAAAAACAAAATCCTCATCACCCCCAAGTAGTACAGTGTCACTGTGGTGACACTGTACTGCTAGGGTGACAGTATGTTAAAAAAAATATAAAAAATAAAATAAAAATGTAAAAGCATTTTTGAAAATATATTATTTTTGGTTAAAAACTAATTTGGGTTTTTTTTTTTTTTTTACTAAAAGGACAGATGAATACACTTTGGCCAAAATGTATGAAGAAAGATTATTTATTTGCAAAATGTTATAAGAAAAACACTTGTTTTAAAATTTTTGGACTTTTTCATTTATATAGCAAAAAAATAAAAATCCCAGCGGTGAATAAATACCACCAAAGTAAAGTTTTATCTGTCTCCAAAAAATGCTAAAAAATTCATATGGGTACAGTGTTGCATGACCGCCCAATTGTCATTCAAAGTGTGATAGCACTGAAAGCTCTAAATTGGCCTGGACTAGAAGTGGTTGAATACACTTTTTTGGAAGTGTGCTTTGGGATATCACAGAAAAGGGAATCCTCGGTTGACCTGTGTACACAAAATTAACATCTACCCTTTTCTTTTCCAGATCATGACCACGGGTTTGTGAAACAGTAGACATGACCCTGCGCCGTAATGGACTTGGCCAGCTTGGCTTCCATGTTAAGTATGATGGCACAGTGGCAGAGGTTGAGGATTATGGATTTGCTTGGCAAGCTGGTTTGCGCCAGGGCAGTAGACTGGTCGAAATATGCAAGGTGGCCGTGGTGACGTTGACCCATGATCAGATGATTGATCTTCTCCGGACTTCAGTCACAGTGAAAGTAGTAATCATACCTCCTCATGAAGATGGGGTGCCACGAAGGTACAGTTTGCTCCTTTATTTTTCTGTAAATGTTATTTAACCTTTTTTTCAAGCACTTTTTAAGTTATATTAAACCTAAAAGCAAACATTTATTAGATTCTTAGATGTGATGGCTAGATTAGTTTTCTTTTTTTTGTGAAGAGGAGTGGTCCAAAATGACTCCAGATCGTTGTGCAGGTCTGATCTGCAACTACAGGAAACGTTTGGTTGAGGTTATTGCTGCCAAAGGAGGGTCAACCAGTTAAGTCCAAAGGTTCACATACTTTTTCCTCCCTGCACTGTGAATGTTTACATGTTATGTGCAATTAAACCATGGCAACATCTAATGTTTGTGTAGTATTATGTTCAGCAGACTGTGTTCTTCTATTGTTGTGACTTAGATGACGTTTAGAGCACATTTTATGCCCAATTCATGCAAAACTCCACGTAATCCAAGGGGTTCACATACTTTTTCTTGCAACTGTATATAATAATAGACTAAGGGCAAGTATACCTGGTGGGAGCCCCCCCTCCCTCCCCCCAAAGATCCAAAGGTGCCCCCTGTGATGCTTCATCCGGAGTGGGGGCACTCTGATACAGAAGTTGTGTTACTGGCCAGATCACCAAGGGAAAAGCCTAAAAAAAAAAAACTAATGTAGCCATCACATCTAATGATTGGTAAGCTGTAATATATTACATTTTTGGTTATTAGTTTAATACTGCTTTAAGCCTTGACTTATTTTAGCAATAAGGACAAGGATAAGGTGCCAGTTTTCTCTGGGTCCACTCACTTTTTCCTATCACTGTTTATTGATGGAGCTGGGATTTTAAACCCTTTGTAAGCTCGGAGTCAGGGCTTACCATGGGTTGATACCATCCACCTTGGATGACTGCGTACAAAGTTGGCAGTTTGGACCCCCAGGGCTATCCAGTGCATTCTGCGTGGAGGTCTTGTGCTTTCCTATTCTTAGCACCACGTATTGTGTGACGGCTCCAGTGGGGAGATGGGTGCTGAAGGCAAGGATATGTGTCTTTATAAAAGACTCTGAATGGGCAAAATGGCATAATCTGTTTACGTCGATTTATGTTATAAGTTAAAGCAACTCCCTGCAAAACCTTTATTAAGGGTCCATGCACACTGGCTTAATATTCGCCTGTACAGAAGTTTTCTGTTTGCTGTAGAAGCAGCTCAGTGTTATTCTAACTGTTCCTGCACATTAAAGTGAAACTCCACCCAAAGGGGAAGTTCCGCTTTAAGGCTTTGTCCCCCACTCCCCGTTAAGGTTTGGCACCTTTAGGAAGCTGGGGGGGAGGTGGGGTTTGTGGATACCCAAATTTGACAGGTACCTGCTCCTACTTCTGTTGTGATCGCCTAAGGTGATCGGAAGCGGAAGTTGTCCTCCCCCCTCCCTCCTCGTAATCTTCTGGGACATGTGACAGGTCCCAGAAGACTACGGAACCATTCGCAAAGCGCAGCGCTACTCCCGCATGCGCAGCGGGCACCCAGCTGAGAAGCCACAAGCTGTCACAGCCGGGTGCCCACCATGAAGATGCTGGAGAGAGAAGATTGCCAGTGAGGACACCGCTGGACCGAGGGACAGGTAAGTGTCTGTATTTTAATATAAATATAAAATGCATTTACAAATTAAACATTTTTTTACAATTTTATTTTGCAAAAGAACATGTAAGAAATCCCTAGTAAGAGCTATCCTAAATACATTCTATATATAAATCTAGAGTGATATCACACAGATTTACTGGTAATATCACATCACAGTACTCGGGTCGTTGGTTCAAATCCCAACCACGGCACCACCTACCTGGAGTTTGCATGTTCTCCCTGTGCCTGTGTGGGTTTCCTCTGGGTACTCCAGTTTCCTCCCACACTCCAAAGACATGCTGGTAGGTTAATTGGCTCCCGTCTAAATTGTCCATAGTATGTGTATGTATGAATGTGAGTTAGAGACCTTAGATTTTACACTCCTTGAGGGTTAGGGACTGATGTGAATGTACAATATATATGTAAAGCGCTGCGTAAAATTGACGGCACTATATAAGTACCTGAAATAAATAAATCTTAAGTAAGAGCAGATGATTCATACAACATTTACTCCCTGGAATCCATCTGCCCTTAGCTCTGGCATGCAGAGAGTTAGATGTGCTTAGCTGAGAAACCCCCCTGATGACTCCTGGGAAGTATGACATCATTTGCCTAGACCAGAAAGCAGTAGGCAACTGAAGAAATGTTAAAAAAAAAAAAAATGTTTAAAACAAGTAAATATGATCTGCTTTCCTATCTATTCACCAATGCTGACAGTATCAGGATTACAAATAGCACATGTTGATTGAGAGTGAAGTTCCACTTTAATTATTACACAATATCCCAAAGTAATCAGTCATTCTTATTGAAACGCATGTTTGTGTCCTTATTGGTCATTCTGAGGTTTGTGGTCACCTCTGTCTCCTATCGTCTGGGGAATATGTGCACACAGACTCCTCTCATTGTGTTTGGTTGAATTGGATCCTGTTGCTCTTTAGCTGGACCTGAAGCCAATAGGTTACATATCAAAGGGCTGTTAAACCGTTCTTTATTCTTCACAAGCCATTCTCATAGCCAAAGGCACAAGATTAAAAACTCAGGGCAGCTTAATACAAAGTACATTTTTTTTAATGTTTAGTCTCCTTTGAGTATTTGATCTGCATGGTAAACTGATTGATTGACCTGAAAGATCAAAAGAAAGTCATACCACAATGCTGCAAATATATGGGTTGTATCATCTGTGGATGTATTATGTTGAGATGAATGCAGTTGACCAGAAGTTCAAACTTGCATTGTATTAGGATTGCCTTCTGCACCTGATCAAATGGGAAATGCTCTTTATTAAGAATGCGCTTCTTTGTTACCTTGGATATATGCTTCATCCAGCATTTACCATTTGAAGGGGTTGAAGGACTGAAATGTTTGTGCCATGCATTAGGCTACATTCACATGGGCGGTTCGCCCTGGTCCAAATGGCAGCTACAGGAATATGATCATTGCAGCTGCTGTTTTGACAGATGTGAGCGTCTTGCTGCGGCCGCCAAGCCCATACACTTCAATGGCAGGTTGCTAGCAGCACAGCTTTTCGTGTCCATCTGCACAGCCAGCGATTACCTGCAGTGATCGCTGCTGTGCATTGGTTTTTTTTTAATATTAAAGCAAGCATTGTAAATAACTGAATTTGACTTGGTATCAGCCCCTGTACAGAAGAGCTCAGAGAGGTGGAGGGAGAAGCAACACAAGGATCCATTTAGGTGTGCTGCAGTGCACAGAGCGTACTGATAGAAGGAGAGAGCAGAGTGACAGATGAGTTCCTCAGTAAAAAAAAAAAACAGAAGGCACACCAGCCTAGTGCATTACCTTAAAAATGTGTTTATTGAATGATAAAAGTAAGTAATGTACTCACAAGATGACAATACAGTCAAAGGTACATCGTATAAGAACAGCTCGCTCTGATCCGCACTCCTTGTGCATCTGTAATGGGAACTCTGGACCAGGCTGATGCGTTTCCAGGACTTGCCTCTTCCTCAGAGCTCCTCAGTCTGCTGCTTCTCTTTTCACTGTCCAGTCACAGGGTGGGGGCTGAGAAGGAGGCCTGTATATCAAAAGAGAAATGATAAGCGAGAGAGTTCAGGTCCCCTCCCCTGACGTGCAGGATTGTACTGTGGGGCAGAGCAGTGTAAATCTCAGACCTGAATTGACAGAATTACATATCCTTTAGCAGGTAAAATGGCTTCCATACATGTATTTTCTCTACTAGTCCCCGCACCCCCCAATCCCCCATTGTGATAGCTAGTTGGGGGATCTTTTTCCCCCTCTAGCTGTCACATTCTAAATCTCTGCCCACCTAGCTGCATCATCCATTCACAGTGTTCTGTGAATTGGTAAACTGCAAGCCCTGTCATCCTTTGCGGCTCTCAATGAACTACCAAAGCACTGTTGAGCGTTGTGGTAGTTCATTCTCTCTTCCTATCAGTGCCTCCCCGTACGAGGTATGAGCAGACGGATACACTGACAAGCCTGCAGGAGTCCTGCAATCTGCTGATCATGGGTACAATGCTTTAAAAGGAGTAAATTAATAAATAAATGCACTTATTTTTTTGCCTGCAAAAAGATGTAATTTATTTATTTAAGATTTAACTTATTCTTTTAATCACTTCCTGGTCGGCCGTTGTATATAAACGGCCGGACGTGGCAGTGCAGGGGTGGGTGGCCGTTTATAAACGGCCTCCCCGCTTGTGCGCACTCCCTGGGAGCGCGCAGCACCACGATATGTTGTTCGCTGTGTCCTCCACAGTGGAACACCAATCGTTGTACGGGACCTCTGTGCGAGATCCCGATCATGTGATCACTGATTGGACAATCAGTGATCACATGAAGAGTAGTAAGCAAGATGTCACTTCTGACATCATTGCTTACTACATGTGAAATCTGTGAATGATCACAGAGATCACATGGTACAAGGCTATTCACAACAGCCTTGTACCATGTGACAAGCTGTGACCAATCACAGCTCACACAGTATTTCTCAATGGCTGCAAGAATCCAGCCAGAGAGAAGGATAAATAATTGTTTTTACAACCTTTATGGGTGTAAAAGCAATCAGTGTAAAAAAAAAAAAAAAAAAAATCTCCATCGCCCCCCCAAGTAGTACAGTGTCACCATGGTAACACTGTACTGCTAGGGTGACCGTATGTAAAAAAAAAACAACATAAATAATATAAAAAAAAAATAAAATAAAAATGTAAAAACAAAATTTTAAAAATTATAATTTTTGGTTATAAACTAATCAGGGTTATTTTTTTTTTTTTTTACTCAAAAGATAATTGAATAAATTTTGGCCAAGATTTATGAAAAAAGATTATTTATGTGCAACATTTTATAAGAAACACTTTTTCAAAATTTTTGGACTTTTTCATTTATATAGCAAAAAAAAAAAAAAAATCCAGTGGTGAATAAATACCACCAAAATAAATCTTTATCTGTCTCAAATAATGCTAAAAAATTCATATGGGTACAGTGTTGCATGACCGCGCAATTGTCATTCAAAGTGTGACAGCACAGAAAGCTGAAAATTGGCCTGGACAGGAAGGGGGTATAAGTGTCCGGACTGGAAGTGGTTAATGGCTAAAACTCCACTCACACTTGTGCAACTCCACAGTGACTTCCAGTGCGGCTTTGAGTGCATATTTGATCTGACGTTCCACTCTTTGGATCAAAGGCGCATCAAAGATAGTACAGGCACCTTTTCAAAGTCACTGTGATTTTAAGTTGCACCGATTTGAACAGGTGCCATTTGAAAAGATTAGGCTGTGGATGTCCAAAGTCCCATGACAAGTCGCACAAGTGTGAATGGATCTTAATTCATGAGCCTGGGGAGATGAAGCAGATGATTTCATGGACCTGTCTTGCAGTACCAGACTATCGAGAGGTGGAATTACTCTTTAAGTTCTCCTGAATGTTGCTCGTAGACATGTGAATTGCAGTGTGCTACATTATGTTGGAAGGCTGTCCCTTTTTTTTTATAGTGAGATATTATTACGGAGCTTGTTATTGAACCGCACCCGTTTAAACCCTCGCTGGACAAGTTCAAACACAGATGCAGCTGCACAGCTCGCTAACGTTCTCCATCAGCCGGGGGGCTGTGCTCGCTCTGTGTCTGTACATGTGTCAGAAGTATATATATATTTACCATTCTTTGTATTTTCTCTATAGGGGATGGTCCGAGTCTCATGAACTCAGCCCAATGGACCACAAGGACACTGAAGGTGCTGCATCCGGTCCCCGGCCTCCATACCGCAGCAACACCGCCTGGCAATGGAGTGGTTCTGCTACCCACCATGGGGCCAGTCCTTCTCAGAAGTGGGTGACTCCCAGCTATGCACTTTCACTGAACCGGCCACCCAAACAGGTTCCAGCCGTGCCTATACGAGAGCCACAGCCACTGCACAACAACAGGAGGTGAGTAACGCCCCCTGTGGCCAAAGACCAGCACTGCAGCATTCCTGGAGTGAGCTGTATTTCAGGGTGATCTCTGGTCGTTATTATTAGAGATTTTTTTTTATCTATTTCAAAACTGAGTTGTTGTTTTTTCCACTTCAGTCTGTGTCTAGTTTTTATTTGTATTTTCTTTGTTACATGGGAAGAACTGAATATTCCGGTCTCTTGCTCTGAGTATAGTGATTATTCACTAAAGCTGGCCATACATATTTTTTTTTCTCACCCATCCTTAATGAGTATGTAACATTGCTGAAGAGGCAAATTATCTTCATTTTTATTTTTTAGCTTTTCCATATATTATGCACCTTTTCAGTTAGATTAGCAGGGGATCTGACCGCTGAGCAGAGCAGGCAGATGACAGGTCTGTGTCTGCTCAGTTTATCCGAAGCAGACATGGACAGAGCTCACTTTGCTCAATGAGCGGCCTGGTGTAAACAGACAGCAGAGGCCACTGCCTTCCAATCTGATCTGCCTAGACAGGAGTTGACAGATCCCCTTCTGTTTTTTTTTTTGGATTGGAAGTAGGCAGATGCAAACAGACACAAGTCTGTTTACATTCGCTGCTCCATAGGGATGAATGGAGGGTCCAATCATGTCCGCCCGAAAAAAAATGACAGGCGGACCTGATCGGACTCTTCGTGTGAAAAGGGCCTAAAGTCCTTTCTGAAGTGTTTTGAAAGAGAGAAAAACTAAAGCCTGCCATACACAGCTTGCCGAATCAGCCAAAATTCAAGCTGTGGGTGGCATCCGGCTCTACAAAAGTCAATATAAATGTCGATGAACTGGTGGAAAATTGTTGGCAGAACAGTGACTGCATCCTATCAGATGCAGTCATTGTTCAGGTGTCTCTAATGTCTGAATACAATAGCCAGCAGGGGAGACTCCACCATCCATACTGTATATTGTTGATTGGGGGGGTCAAGTGATTTTTCTCTCGTTTAGCCTGTGGGCTGAACTAGAGAGATCAGCTTCGTCAGTTTATTGAAAAAGTTTACATAAAGAAAGAGATTTCCAGAATATTATCAGGACAACAAACATGTTATTCAATCCTAGAGTAGCACTCTGTCGTCCTGTACAGGAAGACACAATTTCCTGTAATCCTTGGCTTGTGTGATGGCATATAGATGGATTCCTGCAGCCAAAATAGTACAGTGAGTCCAGTGCTAGGCGAGTATAAAGAGTTGTGTAAGAATAAAAAAAAAAATGATACTATTAAACTTTTATATATATATATATATATATATATATATATATATATATATATATATATATATATATTATATTATTTTTTTTTTTTTTTTAATTTTAAAGAGGCCCCCAGGAGTTTTAGGCGTATTATGCCATAATGTGCTAGTATGGGTGCTTCCATCTGCCCCCGGTCTTCCTTTCTGGGTCGGTCTGTTTGGCCACCTGAATGGCTGGGCTGTGACTACGTCACTCCTGTGCATGCACACAGGAGTCGCATCATCAAGGCACAGAGTGGCTCCATAAATGTACTCTGAGCCGCACATCTGCAGCCGAGTGTACATTGCCACTGACATGCAGGGTATCTTCTGTCATAAAAACTCTACCTGTCAACGATTTAAAAAAATTTAGTTTGATTTTGCTTTAAGTGAATCCAGTTTTTTTTTTACCACTTAAAGCAGAACTACACTGTATCTGAGCACCTCAAACCAAAAACACAATTTCTTTTGTAATATTCAAAGCAAACTCCCCCATCCATCCATCCATCCATCCCTCCATGATTTATTTTGCTGAGAAATCACTTTGAAAAGCCGCCAAACATTTCTGGCCATGTCCATCTTAAGTAAGGGCAGATGGTTCATGTGGCCTTTACTTCCTGAAATCCATATGCCTAGCTCAGGCATGCAGGCAGGAGGGTGTGCTTAGAAAGAAAGCCCCTCCTCCCCTCCTGAAAACTCCTGGGATGTATGACATCATTTGCCTAGGCATGGAAACCAGGAAGCAACTGAAGAAATGTAAAAAAAAAATAAAACAAATGTAATATACTTTTCTATATATTTGCTATTGCTAGCAGCATAAGGATTGAAAATAGTTAATTTTGAATGAGAGAGTGCAGTTCCACTTTAATGTCCGATTTAAGTTAATCCATTTTTTTTTTACTACTTAGGTTTTTCTTCTAGTTCTACTTTTTTCATTTTGGATAGAGTAAGGGAGGATTACAACCCCCTTCAGGTTTATTTTTCCATTGGGAAGATTTTTCTTCATTTCCTGTCCCATAGCCAAAACTAGAAGTGAGAGGAAATCTCTCTAAAGTGAAGGAATCCCTTGTTGTCACCAGGGTCATTAAAACTAGTGTCCCCTCTATCCCCATTCTGGTGAAAAATTTCTTTAACTTTCTCGCCTGGTGATATCAGTAAACAGAACAAATAGAGAGGGTGAAGTTCCCCAACGGGCACAGACAGAAATAAAAACCCAGACAGGGGTTTTAATCTCCTCTCCACTCGAATAAAAAAAAAAAAAAAAAAGTTTGCCTTCATGCTATGTTCTCACTAGTGCGACTTTGATCCAATTTTACATTCTGTGGATCAAAGTCGTGCAGGCATCTTTTCAAAGTCGATGCGACTTGAAAGGGTGCCATTGAAATCAATTGGCTGTGATTTGGCTCCGCAGCATCTCCAAAATACGGACGTTCCTAACTCTAGAAACTACAAAGCAACTCATCAACTCCCTTATCTCCCGACTTGACTATTGCAACTCCCTCCTCGCCGGCCTACCCCAACACAGGCTATCCCCGCTTCAGTCTATCTTGAATTCTGCGGCCAGACTCATCCACCTTACCAACTGCTCCGTATCCGCCATCCCCCTCTGCCAATCCCTCCACTGGCTTATGATTGCCCACGCATAAAATTCAAAATATTAACATTAACGTACAAAGCTGTTCATAACACTGCCCCAAACTACATCACCGACCTGATATCCATCTACCACCCAAAACGCACTCTCCGCTCCTCACAAGACCTCCTTCTCTCCAGTTCCCTGGTCTCCTCCTCCCATGCCCATCTCCAGGACTTCTCCAGGGCTTCCCCCATCCTCTGGAACTCACTGCCCCAATCCATCAGACTGTCACCTTCCCTCCTCACCTTCAGGCGCACCCTGAAAACCCATCTCTTCAGAGAAGCCTACCCCGCCCTCACCTAATTTCTGATCTCCTCCACTCTTCCCACACACTCCATCCCCCACAGCTATTTCCTCCTTTACTACTCTCCCCTCCCTCCTAGATTGTAAGCTCCAAGGAGCAGGGCCCTCGAACCCCTCGTGTATTGTATTGTATTACTGTACTGTCTTGTGTACTGTCTCCCATTATATTGTACAGCGCTGAGCAAACCGTTGGCGCTATATAAATACTGTATAATAATAATAATAATAATAATAATAAATTTGTCATGTGACTTGGTGTCCAAGTTGCACTAGTGGGAACAGAGCCTAATTCAGGCCATACATGGGTCGAAATCCGAACAAATTTTCTTTAGAATTTTCTTTCAAATTTCGCACCGTGGGTTGCAGCATCGTTCAGTTTTCGTGTGGCCATCAAATTTGAGAGATTGGGCATGTTGGAATTTTTTTGAAAAATGAACTAATTTCTAATTAATGATGGGAGAATCATGCGAGAAATAGAATCGAAAAAGAAATGCGCATGAGCTGTGACCTGGAAAGAAAAGAAGGTTCCCAGCCATGGAAATTCTTTTAAGTAGCAACATGAGGTGAAATTGAAGGCTCTGTTGGTCGAATTTCGAAATTACTGGTGGCCCCATTGGATTGCAAAACACAAAATTTTCGATTTTTTTTAAAATAAATTTTGTTCAAAATTCAATCCATGTATGGCCTTTTTAATCCGAACCTTTAGTTATACTTTAATAATAACACATAGCAATCTCCGTATTGCATGTCCCTCTTTTCCTACACAATCCTTTTAAACCATTTTCTCTGAACATCACTTCATCTTTTTCATTTAATGTCTTTTTTTATGGGCCCGCTGTCAATCTACAGTTTGCTCCTCCACGCAGAACATGTGTTAGGAAGCTCCAATAATTGGGGCCGACCTAATCTTGAAAAACTGGCACAGCGTGTGCCGAGGAGACAGCTGAGAAAGGTGTGACTAGGGAGGAGATGCCCGAAGGGCCCCAAGTGATCTGTACCTGTGTCAGCAGCTTCTCATTCCTGTAATTTCTGTTTACACAGGCCGGTGAGCTATCCAGAGACTCCTTATATCGCCACATCCCCGACAGCCATAGATAAAGGACAACCTTACAGACACCCCTCTGGGAGCTTCTCAACACCCACCTCCTCTGGGGGAGGCTACAACCGCTACAAACCCACTCCGGACAGGTGAGAGCTGGAGGTCATCATGCTGAGCGGTTTCCTTTCCTGTGATTGAATGAATGTATACAGTGTCAAAGGATTTGCTCATTCTCACATTTTAGCAGTGTAGCACTTTCGTAATATAATGGTGTTCACTGTTACTGTGATCCTGAAAATCTCACAATTAACCTTCCATTAAGGCTATGCTCAGCCTTTCAGTTTTGGATGGACACTGGTGGTTTAAATCATGATGGGCTGCTTATCTCTCTTCCAAAATGCGGCAGCGAAAAACTGTTCATTTTACATTAATGTATATAATCGTATCGATTAGTAGTTCATTGTTTCTTGTTTCTGTGCATAGTTTGTAAATATTCACCAATCAGCCATAACATTATGACCACCCACCTAATATTGAGTTGGTCCCTCTTTTGCTGCCAAAACAGCCCTGACCCATCGAGACATAGACGCCACTGGACCTCTACGTGGAGATTTTGATGTCACTGCCCTGCCTCTCCATCTTTTGTCAGCATCTTTCCTGAGAGAATGCTAAGTTGTCTCTGAATGGCACCCATGCCAAGCAGGCAACCTTCTGTAAGCAGCAGCAGAAGTCACTTGGCACATGACCCAGAAGACACTGTGGTATCTGGTACCACAGTAGCAGATCCTTTAAAGCATAACTCTGGTCAATTTCTTTTTTTTTTTATTATTACCTTTCAGTGGGGCTGTGCCCGCACTGCATGGGTTAATTGCTCATTTTGGTCTAGGTGTTTGGAGAGCTCAGATAGCCGTTCAATGGGCATGATGACATCAGGAACAGTCCATCACACAACACCGCTGAATCGCAGGGAAGGAGTCGGTCTTGCGCTGGGAGGATCGGGGGATCACCTAATCCCCCGATCCTCCCAGCGCAACACCGACTCCTTCCCCGCAATTCGGCGGTCTTGTGTTGATGGACTTTTCCTGACGTCATCACGCCCATTGACCGGCTCTGGACTTGAAAACATCAGGACCAGTCCACCACTGGACATAGGGGAGCACCGTTTTCCAGATCGGGTGAGTATAGGCGGTGTGTTCACCCCTAGACAAAATGAGCAGCTAACTCATGTAGTGCGGCAACGGCCCTACTGGATGGGGAAATAAAAAAAAACATTTTGCCCGGAGTTAGGCTCATTTTGGTCTAGGTGTTTGGAGACCTCAGATATACTCACCTAATCCCCCTATCCTCCCAGTGCAAGACCGACTCCTTCCCCGCAATTCAGCGGTCTTGTGTGATGGACTGTTCCTGACGTCATCACGCCCATTGACCGGCTCTGGACTTGAAAACATCAGGCACAGTCCACCACTGGACGTAGGGAAGCACCATTTTCCAGATCGGGTGAGTATAAGCGGTGTGTTCACCCCTAGACAAAATGAGCAGCTAACCCATGCAGTGCAGCAACGGCCCTACTGGATGGGGAAATAAAAAAACATTTTGCCCGGAGTTAGGCTTTAACCCCTGTGAGTTATGTGGAGCCTCCACTTGTTTTTCTAATACATCCTGGAGATGCTCAATCTATTGGGATGCATTTTTTTAGTAAATGTAAATTGTTCTCTGATTGGACGAGGTGGAGATTTTTTGATGTCACCGCCCTGCCTCTCCATGTTTTGTCAGCATCTTTACTGAGAAAATGCTAAGTAGGCTCTGAATGGCACCCATGCCAAGCGTACAACCTGCTTTAAGCAGCAGAAGTCACTTGAAATAGAACCCAGAAGATTGTAGCAATCACTGTAGTAGTGTGCCTACTGCAGTGATTGCTACACCACTGGACGTAGGGAAGCACTGTTTTCCAGATCAGGCGAGTATAGGCGGTGTGTTCACCCCTAGACAAAATGAGTAGCTAACCCATGCGGTGCAACAACAGCCCTACTGGATGGGAAAAGAACATTTTTCCTGGAGTTAGGCTTTAGCCCCTGTGAGCTGTTAGGTGCAACCTCCACTTGTTTTTCTAATACATCCTGGAGATCCTCAATCTATTGGGATGCATTTTTTCAGTAAATGTAAAGTGTTCTCTGATTGGACGAGGTGGAGATTTTGATGTCACCGCCCTGCCTCTCCATCTTTTGTCAGCATCTTTCCTAAGAAAATGCTAAGTAGTCTCTGAATGGCACCCATGCCAAGCAGGCGAGCTCCTGTAAGCAGCAGAAGTCACTTGGCACAGGACCCAGAAGATACTGTGGTATCTGGTACCAAGCTGTCAGCAGCAGATCCTTTAAAGCAGAACTCTGGTCGATTTTAATTTTTTTTACCTTCCAGTGGGACTGTGCTCACACTGCATGGGTTAATTGCTCATTTTGGTCTAGGTCAGTTGTGGGCAACCTTTTTTTTCAACTGAGCCAAATCTCGCCAAAACCACGATTGAAATTTATTTTGAGAGCCACATTTTAAAAACTGAAAATACATCCCCCATATAGTAATTCATCCCCCATATAGTAATTCATCCCCCATATAGTAATTCATCCCCCATATAGTAATCCATCCCCCATATAGTAATCCATCCCCCCATATAGTAATTCATCCCCCATATAGTAATTCATCCCCCATATAGTAATTCATCCCCCATATAGTAATTCATCCCCCATATAGTAATTCATCCCCCATATAGTAATTCATCCCCCATATAGTAATTCATCCCCCCTGTAGTAATTCATCCCCCATGTAGTAATTCATCCCCCATAGTAATTCATCCCCCATATAGTAATTCATCCCCCCTGTAGTAATTCATCCCCCATGTAGTAATTCATCCCCCATAGTAATTCATCCCCCATATAGTAATTCATCCCCCCTGTAGTAATTCATCCCCCCTGTAGTAATTCATCCCCCATGTAGTAATTCATCCCCCCTGTAGTAATTCATCCCCCCTGTAGTAATTCATCCCCCATGTAGTAATTCATCCCCCCTATAGTAATTCATCCCCCCTACAGTAATTCATTCCCCATATTGTGTCAATTCACTTACCTTTGCTCCGCGCGTTCCTCTCGGCGTGTTCCCGCGCCGTTCCGGTCTTCAGGACGGACTGTGAGAGGAGAGGAGTTCGTCGCGCTGCCCCGCCTACATCCTGACAGCCAATGTTTGCCACGCTCTGCGGGCCGGATTAAAAGGTCCGCCGGGCCGTAGTTTGCCCATTGCTGGGCTAGCTGCAGAGTCCTGACTTTTGGGGCGGCCGCCCGAGAGGAGGGAGGGGAGCGGGCGCCCGGCACACAGAAGAGCCGCGTTAAAGTGTGGAAAGAGCCGCATGTGGCTCGCGAGCCGCGGCTTGCCGACCACTGGTCTAGGTGTTTGAAGAGCTCAGATATTCTCACCTAATACCCTGATCCTCCCAGCACAAGACCGACTCCTTCCCCGCGATTCAGCGGTGTTGTGTGATGGACTGTTCCTGATGTCTTCACGCCCATTGACCAAGATTGTAGCAATCACTGTAGTAGTGTGCCTAAAACAGTGATTTCCAGCTTTCACGGGGATCCCACAAGTATGGCATGCACATACTCACACTGGTCCAAGCTGGATCAACATAATTATGTAAAAGTCCCAGTCATTTCTATTGAGCCACGTGGCTGCGTGGACCCAGCTGCTGTGTCCTAATATGACATGCAGGTGAGTGCAGATCCCTGAATGAGGGTGTGCTCAGGGACCCGTACTCACCCGCATGTCATATTAGAACACAGCAGCTGTGTCCATGCAGCAGCCTCTTCCAATAGAAATTAATGGGGCGCTGGCACAGGGATGCAAGCAACATCTGTGATCTCCGTACCAGGAGAACACAAACCTGCACTGGACCCGCAGCAAACCGCCCTGAGAGAATGAGCCCAGAGGCAGCGGGGTTTCAAAAACTTTCATAGGATTCCCCCTGCTGCTGTTTTAATCAAAAGGTTGCTGAAGCCCAGAGTGCTGTGATTCACTTCTGATTCACTTAATCCCATGTCACTGCAGACTTTCCGTGGTGACATGGGAATCTTGATGTAGAAGTAACATTAATACACAAAGATGTTAATGATAGGTTACACAGCACAGTCTGGATGTCTGCAGTCTTGTCTGTATATCCATTCGCACAGAATTTTTCACAACACTTATTGGCGTGTTGTAATCCGTGATTATAAAGACGAGATGAGTAAGTATATATTGTGTATGTTGCAGGTTTAGCACACCACAGCGTTCTATACTACAGCCAGAACCTTACAGCATCCAAGATGGCATGTCCAGCCAAGAGATGAACCCTGACCGACATAAACCTGGTAAGACTCAGCCACAGGCAAATCATACCCGACTTTACCATCGATCGATGGCTGTCTACACACGTCTGGTGCACAGAAATACTTTTTATGAGATCTTGGTGGATTTGTGTACAGGGGATCTAACACATTATATTCACACCATAATCCAGTCTTATTCAGTACACAAAACAAAAAGTATAACGGTCAGCAACCAATCTGAATCCTTCCGCCATTGGTCTGGATGTAGTAGGTTACTTTGCGTTACTGCGCATTTCCTTTTACTGTTTATTGAATGTTTGCTTGTCTAGGACCAAAATATCTATATTTATTTCAGGTACTTATATAGCGCCGTCAATTTACGCAGTGCTTTACATTTATATATTGTACATTCACATCAGTCCCTAACCCTCAAGGAGTGTACAATCTAAGGTCCCTAACTCACATTCATACATACACATACTAGAACCGATTTAGACAGGATCCAGTTCACCTACCAGCATGTCTTTGGAGTGTGGGAGGAAACTGGAGTACCCGGAGGAAACCCACGCAGGCACAGGGAGAACATGCAAACTCCAGGTAGGTGGTGCCGTGGTTGGGATTTGAACCAACGACCCTAGTACTGTGATGTGATATTACCAGTAAATCTGTGTGATATCACTCTAGATTTGCCGTGTAGAATGTATTTAGGATAGCTCTTACTAGGGATTTCTTACATGTTCTTTTGCAAAATAAAACTGTAAAAAGTGTTTAATTTGCAAATGCATTTTATATTTACCGACACATGGCCCAATTCTGCATTAGCAGTGCCATCTAGTGGTAATTAAGGGAATGGCAGTAGCTGTTCAATACTTGATTTTCTTTTCATAAGACTACAGCTAGGCCGTGTGAACGTTTGTTAACGCAATGAAGCTGGCCATACACTGATCAAAATGTGGCCAGTCCAGCATGGACCGGCTGAATTTTGATCAGCATGTGGTTGTCCTTCATAAGAAGTTGGTCTTTTGACTGACCTCTGTCAAACGGACAAGTTGGAAAGCTTTTCTTGATGAGCAGCTGCAGCCACTGATCGGTGTATTTTGACAACAGTAGTTCCTACTGTCAGAATACAGTGTCCCGGTAGGAAGGTTCCTCCATCCACCTCCCTTATGCAAACACATGCAGCATAATGTAAAATTTTGCCCTATGGTGTTCTACAAAGGGAAGCACAAATTATGTCAGTCAGTGGTGTACATGTTGGGAAATGTGGTAGTGAGGGGGAAAAAAATCAGGTGAGAAGCCATTCTTTTAAGTGGATTTAAAAAAAAAAATGTTTTCCACCCTGTTTGTGCTGTTTAGTAACAGGATAGCCCACTATGCATATGAGGTGGTTACAGTCGAATAAAATACTGGATGTCTGAGCTGAACAAACAAAAATCATTATTTTCTTAGATCATTAATGAACCAGCAGTCTGGATAACCTATACTTGGCTGTCCTTTGACAGTAGTTGCATGAATGTGATAATTCAGTTGTTCTCAGCTTAAAAAATTTCCCTTTTAAAAAATTGTTGCGGTCCCTGTTAAAAGATAAGTTCACCTTTTGAACATGTTACACCCCGTATTTTAACAGCCTGTACGGAGTTACAGACAAGAAGGCCGAAGGCAGTGCATGCTGGAGCCTTTCATTGCATGTGTGATCTAGGCTTCATTGACCATCTTGTCTTAAAGGCGTTAAAGTGGAGCTCCGGTCTCCCCCAAAAAATTCAAAGTTAGCAGCTACAAATACTGTAGCTGCTGGCTTTTAATATAAGGACACTTACCTGTCCAGGGATCCAGCAATGTCCTCACCTAAGCGGATTCTTTAATTGGCTTTGGGTGCAGGCACCGGCATCTTCGGTAAGGGAAACTTCACAGCCGGTTTAGTACTGCACATGCACTTTGTGAATGGACCTGCAGTCTCCTGGGACCCGTGTGTCCCAGAAGGCTGCCGAGGGGGGAGGGGGGGGGCAAACTTCCTCACAGATTGTGGCAGTTATCTGACTTGGAAATGGGAGTGGGTACCTGTCAAATCCAGGTACCCGCTCCCCCCAAAAAAGTGCCAGATGTGGCAGTGGAGCGTAACTTCCTTTTTGGGTGAAGTTCTGCTTTAAACTTTAAACTGCAGAGCACTCCAGAAGTGTTCAGTTTAGTACATAGCAGATTGAGGTCTGAGCTTTGTAACCCTTTTTAATCAGCAAGCCATCTGTACTTTTCGTACAAACTGAACCGATTCCTTCATCCACACACTCGAAGTGGAAGCAGGAATCTTCCCCATTGTGTCATTGTATTCTGACAGTGGGACTCCCCTTCCGTCAGAAAACAATAATCAGTGCTGCATGCGCTGATCGATGCAACATTTTTCAATAAGCTGGTCCATGAACAGGAACAGCCATACATGGATCGAAATATGATTGGTTCCTGCTGAATCAGATGAATTTCGATCCACGCATGCTCAGCTTAGGCTGCTGGGTAGCTAAAGGACTTGCAGCCAATTTGAACTCTTTGAAGTAAGCACAGGATCACTTATGTTCTACTGAAATCATTGCCTACACACTTAGCACTCACATTGTCAGTGATCGAAGGTAACGGATTGAAAGACTGTTACCTAACACCCTAGAAAAGTATGTGTTTGCATGTAACTCTGCAGTCAGCAAATCTCATGCTCTCTGCTGATGAAAGCCCTAGCTCTGACTGAGAAGGGGGTGTGGAAGCAGAGTGACCACTGCAAGTGTCTTTCTTTGCCGCATGCTGGCAGGGGACAGACTTTTCTGCTCAGGATGTGGCATTTTTAAGAAAATATAAGCTAACATTTTGCACACCTTTTTATTTTGATGTACCTTGAATTTAGCTAATTTAAACTAAAAGTTGAGTTGGAACAGCTTTGAGATTGTAAAGGATTTATTTAGTTTTCAACCATTATTTTAACTTTTCTGAGAAGCATCCACAGAATGACGTTGTCCTGCTAAGACTTGCAGTGTAACCTTCGTACATGTAAGGTAGCTGTAAGAACTGTAAGCTCAGTAGATCTTCAGTATAATTTAAGATGCAATATCACAGTTCCCAGCCCCCCCCATCACCAACCTCCTTAATTAACACTCAGTCTCTAATTATTCACAGTCTCTGATGGCTGCTACGTGTGCATGACGACAGCATTTGTCTTTTCAGAGCCTCTTTGGCACATCCCATCACAGACCCGAGTGGCATCCAGTGTGAACAAGCGACCAAACAGACAGGAACTGGTGGGCAAGAGTTCTCCACATCGGCACTCTAGGGTGAGTGAAGGATGCTGATTGTACATATGTTGCTACACAATGTCTAGTAATATTGGAGACTCACTGCTTCCTTTGTTCTGTCCACTACACAGGGGGAGACCCAGTACTCCAGTCACTCCAGCAGTAACACCTTATCAAGCACTGCCTCCAGTAACCAGAGCGATGAGCGTTGGTTTGACCCTCAGGAGCAGCCTGATGTAGACCTGGAGCCCCTATCTAAAGGCACTTCCAATGACAGTGGTATTGACACCTCCCTCCCTAACTTCCCCCACTCTAATCTAAACCGGCAGCCTCGCCGAGAGAAACTGCCAAAACCCATGGCGTGTTCTACCTATCCCGGCATGCATGACAGCTCCCGAGAAAAGAGGAAAGAGCAGATGTCCTCCGGCAAAGGCTACAGGCCCAAAATGTACCCTGCAGGGAATGGAGCAGGAGAACCTCTAAACCAGTCAAGGTAATGAGCAAATTTAGTATGATATTATGTTAACACCTCCGTGCAAATCATACCTGCAATCACAGCCACATTTTATTCTCTGTATTATAGAATTTATTCAGCTAATCATAATTGAAAGCTTTCATATTAATATGTGATCAGTCTAGCACACACACAACTGTTAATTGATCACAGGGAGTTTAGATGTGATTAGATGTGGCTTGTGCTGAACTGCTTCTTCCAGTTTAAAGTGATATTAAAGGCATTTAAAAAAAATATATATATATATATATATTGCGCCTGCCGTGATTTCTGGCTTCTCCCTCTTGTCGATTGCCCCCAGAACAAACCACTTACTATGGGGGCACCCAAATAGGTTTGCTTCCAAGCCTTTGCTATGCGTTTCCATTCAGACAGAGCGTTGCTGGCCCCCTCTCTCCTCATTGACTCACTGGCTATGATTGACAGCCAATGTCTCAGGCAATGAAGAGGGAGAGTCCCCAGAGAGCTGAGGCTCTCGTGCGTAGCGCTGGATTGCGAAGGGGCTCAGGTAGGTTTTAGTGGGGACTGGGGGCACTGCTGCACACAGAAGGTTTTTTACTTTCATGAGGCGCTCCTGGCTTCTCCCCCCTCCTGAGTGCCCCCATAGAAAGCTGCTTTTCATGGGGGCACTTGGGCGCGCTTAATTCTGAGCCGGGCTGTTTGTGTCTACTCAGATACACAGTCCATATTAGCCCCGCCCCCGCTCTGCTCACTGGCCAATGACTCCCACTGCTTTCATTCAGCCAAGCCTGTGAGAATGGGGAGAGATATATATATATGTGTGTGTGTGTATATATATATATATATATATATATATATATATATATATATGTATATATATGTGTGTGTGAGTGATTTTGCATTTCCGGGTAGGGGGCACGCCACCATTCGCTGCTGTCAATTATTGGCTCGCCGGTGCCCGGTGATTTCCGAGCATCTCCGACGGGAGGAGAACTGTATGTCAATAATACAGTTCTCCTCCCTGTCAGCTTGTGCACACTGCTTTACATGGCTGTGCACAGCCATGCAAAGCAGTGTGATTACAGTGTAAAGCACACAGACACAAGTAAAACAGCACACAACCCTTTGATCGCCCCCTCATGTTAACCCCTTCCTGCCCAGTGCCCTTAGTACAGTGTCAGTGCTTTTTTTTTTTTAGCACTAATCACTGTATTGGTGTCACTGGGGATGTCAATGACATCAAGTCAGTTCCCCCCAGTGTCAGATTGCCCGCCGCAGTCCTGCTCTAATTCGACGATCACCACCATTACTACTAAAAATTAAAAAAATAAATGAATTCCAGTATCTATACTGCCATTTGTAAACGCTATAACTTTCACGTAAATAAATTAATTTACATGTATTGGGATTTTTTTTTTTTTTAGCAAAGATATGCAGCAGAATACATTATGGCCTAAATTGATGACGAAATTTGATTTTTAAAATCTTTTTACTGGACATGTTTAATAGCAAAAAGTCAAATATTTTTTTTTTCAAAATGGTCGGTCTTTTTTTGTTTATAGCGCAAAAAATAAAAATGCACAGTCGATCAAATACCACTGAAAGAAAGCTCAATTCGTAGGGGAAAAAAAAAAGACATAAATGTAATTTATGTACAGCGTTGCATGACCGGGCAATTGTCAGTTAAAGTAACGCAGCACCGTAATGCAAAAAATGACCTGGTCAGGAAGGGGGGTAAATCCTCAGGAGGGCAAGTGGTTAAGCCACTTTACATAGACAGTGGAACAGGACTGGTCTTGAACTGTGTGTGTGGTGGGCATTTATAGTACAGCAAGGATTCGTCACCTTTTTTTGGAAATTGACTACTGAATTGGGCTGCCACTGTGCATTCTTTGTCCAAAAAAAGGCAGGAAGACGACAAAGGACTAGTCAGCGGTATTACATGTTGTCCCCTGTAGCTAATCCTTTTCCACATTACTGGCATACTATGTCTTGTTCCACTCTATGTCTCTTTCTGGAGATAGCCACCCTGATAAATGAACAGGGCTTTGCTTCCTCATCCCAGAGCTGCCCCCTGTTGATCTGCTGACTGGCAGTGTAATGATTAAGAAGCAGCAGGAGAGGTAGATAAAGCACAGATCATTATATTGAACTTGAATTGAAGTTCCACCGGTATAGCTTTTTTTTTTTTTTTATTTCTTACAAGAACAGTACCATCACCGAATCTCATGATAATAGTAGTTGGAAGAACAGCACCTTGGATGATCTCACGCTGCAGATATGTAGCTATGAGGCTTTAAGAACTAGATGTGTGCTATTCTGCACACATACAAAGGTACATTTTTCAGGGAAAAACTGACATTTCTAGATGATCTCTAGAACATAGCAAATCTTTACTTTTTGCGTTCAGGTTCACTTAAGGTCCACTTGCAGATTCGTCAGTATCAGAATTACTAGAAAGGACCTAGAAAAATTCTTAACCTTTCCCAATGTGTCACTCCTTCGCTGACTGGATTAGCTAGATGTTGCTTCTGCGTTCATCGAAATGCTGTGGAATCTCTCTCACTTGCAAGGTTGTGACGCTTCACTCATCCAGCCAGTGCCGGATCAACTTAGTAGACTCAGGGAATTATTGCTTTGCTTTGTATAGTGATCACTTTGCTGAAGAATTGTCCCGAAGATCGCAAGTGTGACCTGGCCCAAAGGGTTGCCACAGACTTACTGAAAATTGCTTTATTATTTATTGTTGTAGACAAAACATAATTCAAAACATTAAAAAATCATTCCTGTACCAATTAATAAAGGGCTGTCTCAGAGTTTATATTTCTTTGTCCAGCAGAACATATTCTTCCATCCATGCTACACAGCGCAGATGGATGAATCTCCCACTGAGGTTGTTTCATTTTACCAGCCAACACTTGCCAGCTGTCAAAACATCTGACTATTGTCTGCATATTATTGGATGCGGTCGCAGTTCATCCAACAGTTTTCTGTCCTGTTTCTTCAGTTTTATCATTCGAGGCAGGAAGTGGCTGGTGGTGCCACCCACTGAGTGAATTTCGAATGCTGCATATTGAACAAGCCAAAATTTGCTCCATGTACAGCCAGCTTTACATCTCTATGTTCAGAACTGGAAGAACAATTTTCTACAGTTTCCTACCAAGTGTGTACTGAGCTGCTCATGTCCAGCTCAGTGTGCCTTCCTGACTGTGGCGGAATGGCTAATTCCCATGCGCATGCCAAAAAAACCCAGCACCCAAGGAGAAGTTGACAGGGCTGGCGAGGGATGTAACCACTGAATCAGTGGAAGGGAGTTTTTTTGGGCGTTTAGTTCCACTTTAACTAAAGGAATGGTGGTTTAACCAGTTGAAGAACAGGCCTTTTTTTCCACTTTTGTTTACATGTAACAATCAGTATTTTTTGCTAGAAAATTTTATACAACTCCAAACATTATATTTTTTTTTTTAAAGCAGAGGTCCTAGAGACTTAAATTTGTGGGTGTTGCGATTTGTTATGTCACATGGTATTTGTGCAGTGGTTTTTCAAACACAATTTAAAAAAAAAATGCACTTTTTTTTAAATATAAAACACGACGCTACGCCGAGTAAATAGATACCAAACATGTCATGCTATAAAATTGCACATGCCCATGCAATGGCAACAAGTGACGAAAATTACTATCCATAGGTGACACTTTAAAATCCTTTACAGGTTACCACTTTAGCTTTGCTTGCGTGAGTATGGGACCAGCATTTGCATTTTCCTTTGTGTATGAGCATGGGGGGATGGGGGCACTTTAAAAAAAAATGTTAGTATTATTTTTTTTTTTTTTTACACTTGCTTTAAATTTTAATTTTTTTTTGGTTTACTTTTTTTGCTGTCACTAGGAATGTAAACAGGTGACAGCAATAGGCATGTGACAGGTACTCTTTGTGGAGAGATCTGCTCTGCCCTTAAAAGCATTTGATCACATCAAGATCGGAGTGATCAGACGCTTTTTGTTTGTAAAAATGGCACTGTTTATATGCGGGTACACCAGAACTGATGTAACGCCATCACTTCTGGTTCTCTATGTCATAGAGCCAAAGGGAGAGGTTACGGTCTTTGTGGTCAGCTGGTGAAAGCAGCAGCTGATGGGTATCCGGGAGGAATGGGACCGCCGGTTAAAAAGCCACAAAAGGTGACGTGGGGACTGTCCCCTCCCGCTGCTTGTAATTGCAATCCAGCAGCTAGTTAGGCGCTTAGATTGCTTTTACAAAAGAGCCAACCGTTAGCTCTAAAAACCGGTACCCACTAAAGGCATCATCCCAGTTGGGTGATGATATATGAATTGTTATTCCTACAGACAAGCGGCAGGGCTGAGATTTACAGAACTTGAGTCGGGTGTATGTTGTGGGTGTGTAGTGTTTTGCACCAGCCATAACATTTGGGATAAAGGGGACAGTGCTTAGCTGGAAGGAGCAGGACTTCCCAGACCACTATTTTGGCACAAGTATAAAGTGTCTGACATTTCAGCTTTGATGAGGAGGGTAACCTCACTATAAACACATTTGGTTAATGTAGATAAAGGTATATACAGTCTTTTATATGCCTGTATTTTGAAGGGGGGCCTTGTATAGGTGTACATAGAAAGATCAGATGCTTTCTTACTTTGTGATGGAAAGAATCTGCAACATTATAAAGATTCAGCTGCAGTTAATTATTCTCACCCTTATTCTTTTGGCCAATAGATCCAACGTGTTTCAGACCCCAGACAGTTCTCGGAACCAGCAGATGTCCCAGTCGAGCTCCTTCCAGCTCTCCAGCTCTGTGCCCAAATCCTTTTTCTCCCGACAGAATGTGAGAAATAAGATCCCGGCTGGCTGGAAGAAGCCAGAGGAAACACCACCACAAAGACCAACCACGTTTACTGATCCCAAAAAGTAAGCTCATTCCCCTTCTCTAATATTCCGCAAGATTCACACAGTTCCCTAAAATATGAACAGAGATCAACTAGATTTAAATTCTCAGGGCATATGGGAGTTTAAATTTCAAACAGTATTCCGGTGGGTACTACAGACAGATCTTATTTATAGGATAAGTTCACCTTTTACAAAAAAAAAAATGCACATTTTTGGGGTTAAAAGATTTGCATTTATTATTTTTTTAAACAAGAGCCTGCAAAGTATTGCACCTGCAGTCATCAGATTGGGGGTTAAATTTCAGGCTCACTCACACTCCCTCCAGCTTTCAGTCTGTACCTCTGCACCGGCTGTTAGTTTGCAAACTGGAGGAAGTGTGAATGGATTACAAGCGTGCTGATTAGCCCACTCATGGCCCATTCAAACTGCAAGTCCATCTGCCACAGTGGCAGACAAGACTTGTAGTTTTCTCATTCACAGATTCCAGTGAATGAATGATGCAGCTGTGCAAGCAACTTCATGCCACTCCGGTTTCAAAAAGTGACAGCAGCTGGAGGAAGAGGAAACCCTGCTCGCTTCACGGGAAGAGGGGTGCCGTGGGGAGAGATTGTTCAACATTCAAAAGTTGTGGATGGATCTGTCCCCCAACTTCCCATTATGACACCATCCTTAGAAACAATTTTCAAAAACACTCTCTCACAAAAGCAAAAGTGAGAGACTAGTATATACTGGGACTTTAAATCTTCAACAGAAATAAACAACATGAGTCATAAAAACATTAAATCTTTATTGCAATAGTTAAAAACATTTAAAGTACAGTGCCGTATCATTCACTCCACACATGTAAACACATCGATGCAATTACAGAATTGACATAACAGATTGACGTTTTTCGCAAATCGATTTGCTTCCTCAGGATCTGCACTATTATTCAAAAAGTGATTTGGCTATACGAAAACAATAATACATGTTAAATAACACGAACAAAACCCCTAGAAAAACTTTGTTACACATATACAGCATCAAATTTTAAAAATTATGCAGCACAACCCTCATTTATGAAAAGAAGAGGGACCAATAAAAAACCCCCACACACCACCAAACACACTCCCGAACCAACAAACCATCCTTCCCCTTTTACACTGACAAACTTCCAACCTTTCCCCATCTGGATTCCTTCCATCCCTCTGGGTATCCCAAAATTGCCCAAATCTCACCACCCCTCAGAAACGCCAGAGTGGGCTATGGTGAGTGGGACAGCAAAAAAGGACCTATACATAGCAGAATTTCCCTCCCCCCAGAAGATAAACAGGTGCATCTCCTCATCACTTATCACAACCTAAAAAATATTGAATCCAAATAAAGGCCAAAAGATTTGACAGATATGGCTTAAAACTCAGAGTATGAGGGGAGATATGTACTATATATAATAAACAAAATGAAACACAAGAGGCCCATAGAAAAGTTAGCGCCAAAAATTACAAATATCATAAAAAAATGGCAACTTATCATATCAATGAGTATCCCAGACCAATAGAACATCCTGTAATTAAACGTATGTATGGTCTGATCCAAGGATGGTATTTCAATGTAATGCTATCTGTGTTGTGTTGTTTTTCTTTTCTTTTCAAATGGGGGTTTTGCTGCATAACTTTTCAGAAATTTGAATAATTTCCGAATATGTGTAACATAAAGTTTTGCTAGTTTTGTTAGTGTTCGTTAACATGTGTTATTGTTTTTGTATAGCCATATCGATTTCTGAATATTGGTGCTGATCCTGGGGAAGCAACTAGATTTGTGAAACGCGTCGGATCTGCTACCCCAATTCTGTAATTGTATCAATGTGGTTACCACGTGACGTGAATGATATGGCACTGTACTTTTATTGTTTTTAACTATAGTAATAAAGATTTAATGTTTTTATGACTTTTGTGTTGTGTATTCCTGTTGAGGCACATTTAAAGTCCCACTATAGACTATACTAGTCCCTTGCTTGTGCTTTAGCGAGAGTGTGTTTTTGAATAAAAATAGGTTGCTGAACATGTTACGTGTTACACCCTCAATACGGGTGTAACATATTTAGGAAGTGAACTTAATATTTAAGTCCCAAATTAGCAAGAACTGAGTATTACTGTGAAAATTCTCTGGAATTATATACTTCTATAAATGACCCTTCTATAGCCAAATGTACACATACCTGGTTTTCATAGTCATTTATGAACAGAAGTAAATATACTGACTGCTATGGGCAACAGTAGACTCCGTTCTTTTGAAAATGTTTTGTTTGTTGGTCATCCTATCTGCAGTATTGCTGTTCTTGGATTACCCTGAAAAACCTCAAACAAAGGTAGAAACTTTAAAGGCTAACTTTGGGCACAAGAACAAAAAAATGAGCCTAGCATTTCTTCCCACCCCCCCTTTACAACTGCTTATTCTAGGAGTACAGGGATAAGGAGAAATACTTACCTTACTCCTCGCTCTTGTAGGCATATGAAAGTGACAACCTCCCGAATGCAGTCGCACGCCTGCTTCCTGCATGTGCACTGTAAGGTTAATAGCCATGCATTGTATGGGTTTATGCTGAGGGACCACCTGGAGGAGAGGGGGGACAGTGACTGAGTCTGCTTGGAGGAGACGGAGGGACAGTGACAGAACCTGCTGGGGGTGGGCACAGTGATGGAGCCTACTGAGGGGGATCAGTGACGGAGCCTGCTGGGGGGGAGGGCAGTGACAGATCCTGTTGGGGGAAGGGGGGGGGACAGTGACGGGACCTGCTGGGGGAGGGGGACAGTGACGGAGCCTGTGGGGGGGGGGGGGGGGAAATGATAGAGCTTGATGGGGGGCACAATGATGGAGCCTACTGAGGTGGATCAGTGATGGAGTCTGCTGGTTGTGAGGGCAGTGATGGATCCTGTCGGGGGGGGGGGGGGGGGGGCAGTGATGGATCCTGCTGGGGGAGGGGGGGACAGTGACGGAACCTGCTGGGGGAGGGGGACAGTGACGGAGCCTGTTGGGGGGGACAGTGACGGAGCCTGTTGGGGGGGACAGTGACGGAGCCTGTTGGGGGGGACAGTGACGGAGCCTGTTGGGGGGGACAGTGACGGAGCCTGTTGGGGGGGACAGTGACGGAGCCTGTTGGGGGGGACAGTGACGGGGGGGGGACAGTGACGGAGCCTGTTGGGGGGGACAGTGACGGAGCCTGTTGGGGGGGGACAGTGACGGAGCCTGTTGGGGGGGGGGGGGAGGCAGTGACGGAACCTGTTGGGGGGGGACGGGGGGGGGGGGACAGTGACGGAGCCTGTTGGGGGGGGGACAGTGACGGAGCCTGTTGGGGGGGGGGGACAGTGACGGAGCCTGTTGGGGGGACGACGACAGTGACGGAGCCTGTTGGGGGGGGGGGGGACAGTGACGGAGCCTGTTGGGGGGGGGGGGGGACAGTGACGGAGCCTGTTGGGGGGGGGGGGGGACAGTGACGGAGCCTGTTGGGGGGGGGGGGACAGTGACGGAGCCTGTTGGGGGGGGGGGACAGTGACGGAGCCTGTTGGGGGGGGACAGTGACGGAGCCTGTTGGGGGGGGGGGGGAAATAATGGAGCCTGATGGGGGACACAGTGATGGAGCCTACTGAGGGGGATCAGTGACGGAGTCTGCTGGGGGTGAGGGCAGTGACGGATCCTGCTGGGGGGGGAAGGAAGTGACGGAGCCTGCTGAGGGGCAACAGTGACGGAGCCTGCTGAGGGGCAACAGTGACGGAGCCTGCTGAGGGGCAACAGTGACGGAGCCTGCTGAGGGGCAACAGTGACGGAGCCTGCTGAGGGGCAACAGTGACGGAGCCTGCTGAGGGGCAACAGTGACGGAGCCTGCTGAGGGGCAACAGTGAAGAGGGGTATTGACGGAGCCTGCTGGTGGGAACATTGACAGAGCCTGCTGGTGGGAACAGTGAAGGGGGGTATTGATAGAGCCTGTTGGGGGATATAGTGACGGATCCTGTTGGGGGGAAGCCTGCTTCTACCCCTAGACCCGGTATAACCTTTGCAGTTCAGGCCCCCCCCTGCAAAAGTTTTTTGGTTTTTTTTTTTCCTTCTTTCTAGAGTTTGGCCATAATACTGCTTTGCTTTTAAATGCATACTTTTGGCTACTTGTCTGCATGCATGGACTAAAGGAATTTACTGAGGGGAGAAGTGAAGCTTTATTGTTTCATCATTATTTGTGTTGTAATTTTGTTTTTTTTTTTACTACAGACATCAGTTTTAGAGCCATTTGACAACAAAAATGATCAAATGGATAAAGAAAGCCCACCAACAATCCATCAATTGTTTTGATTGATTCAGGGCTTTGATCCTGTTGGTGGTGGGTCACCATCCATTTGCTGTTGCAGCAAAAAGCTCATTGAACTTGTCTGAAAATTGCTGTGTGTATGGCCTGCGGTATGTGATCAGACAGTGCTGGAGCCAGGGGTTCTGTGTGTGTGGGGAAGAATGTAGGTCAGCGGTAACAGACACATGTGTTGAAAAAGACAGGATTAAAGGAACATCTGCTGTTTGTAAACATGAGTGGGGCAGCTGGTGTATAGCGCGCACTGTATAGTAAACACTGTGTTCTTTAATGTGTTTTTTATATATTTTTTTTTAGCATGTATTTGGCAGGGAACATCGGCAGTACCTGTGATTCTGGTCTCTCTCAGTACTCTGCTCTGTCTCTCTGTTTCAGACAAGTCGATGTGAACACAAAGAACGTGTTTGGTCAACCCAGGCTTCGGGCCTCCCTGCGAGATCTACGGTCACCTCGTAAGAATTACAAGTCCACCATTGAGGATGATCTGAAAAGGCTGATTATTATGGATAATCCGGGGCCAGAGCAGGAGCAAGAATGCACGGTGAGACACTGAATTTACCTCACCTATCACAAGGCTGTCCTTGTATCCATTGTGGGCTTCACAAACGGAAAGTCAGCAGGAAGATCTGTTCTTGCTGCTCTTAGCACACAGTCCATGATGTTTACTGAGCATTTGGGTCATAAGGCCCAGTTACTTTAACCACTTACCCTCCGGAGGATTTATCCCTCTTTCTGTCCAGGCCATTTTTTGCGATAAAGTGCTGAGTTACTTTAATTGACAATTGCACGGGTCATGCAATTCTGTACATAAATTACATTTACGTCCTTTTTTTTTCCCCCACAAGTAGATTGGATTATAAGGCCCAGTTTTTTTAACCACTTCCCCTCCGGAGGATTTATCCCTCTTCCTGACCAGGCCATTTTTTGCGATAAGGCGCTGCGTTACTTTAATTGAGAATTGCGCGGTCATGCAATGCTGTACATAAATCAAATTTACGTTCTTTTTTTCCCACAAGTAGATTGGATTATAAGGCCCAGTTACTTTAACCATTTACCCTCCGGAGGATTTATCCCTCTTCCTGTCCAGGCCATTTTTTGCGATAAGGCACTGCGTCACTTTAATTGACAATTGCGCGGTCATGCAATTCTGTACATAAATGACATTTACGTCCTTTTTTTTTCCCCACAAGTAGATTGGATTATAAGGCCCAGTTACTTTAACCACTTACCCTCTGGAGGATTTATCCCTCTTCCTGTCCAGGCCATTTTTGCGATAAGGCGCTGCGTTACTTTAATTGACAATTGCGCGGTCATGCAATGCTGTACATAAATTTATGTCCTTTTTTTTTCCACAAGTAGAGCGTTCTTTCGGTGATATTTGATTGCCTGTGCGGTTTTTATTTTTTGCGCTATAAACAAAAAAAAAAAAAACAATTTTGAGAAAAAAAAATTTTGCTATTAAACATATCCAGTAAAAAAAAATTTAAAAATCAAATGTCGTCATAAATTTAGGCCAAAATGTATTCTGCTACAAGTCTTTGCTAAAAAAAAAATCCCAATACGTGTAAATTAATTGGTTTAAGTGAAAGTTATAGCATTTACAAATGGCGGTATAGATACTGGAATTTTTTCATTTTACTAGTAATGGCGGCGATCAGTGACTTACAGCAGGGCAGCGGCGGGCATTCTGACACTGGGGGGAACTGACTTAGTGTCACT